GGGGGGGAAATTTTTTCCTGGAGAGAAAAAACCTTTTTTCCCTTTTTTTTGGGGGGTTAAGAAAAATCCCCCTTTTTTAAGTTTTGTGGGGGGGCCCCCTTTCCCACGGGGAATAGTTTCGGTTCCGGACACGCAAAATTCTTAAAATTGGGGGATTTTGGGGCCCGGGTCCCCTTTATTGGAAGACCCGTTCCTTTGCCCGGGCCTAAACCGAATGGGAAAGGGCCCTTTAAATTTTCCACAGCGGGAACCCACCCCGGGGGGGGGGGGGTGGAATTAAAACCGTTTTTCCCCCCCCAGGAGGATTTGGGGGGGGGCCCCCCGGAAATGAAATTCCGCCCCTTTGGGTTTTAGGGGCCAAGGGGGGCCCCCCCTTTTTGGGTCCCCCCCCGGCCCCCTAAAGCCAAGGGGGGCCCCCCCCCCCCCCCCCCAGCAGCAGCGTTTTGTTGCTGGGGGGGTCGGGACCCCCCCCCCAGCAGCAGCGCTCTGCTGCTGGGGGGGGTCGGGACCCCCCCCCCAGCAGCAGCGCTCTGCCTGTGGGGGGTGCTGGCATCTCTGTACAGACAGCAGCTGTAAGTAGCATGCGTTCGAGTTGCGAGAATTTATGGTCGGCATCAAAATCAGTGGTCTCACCGGCGGGGCCTCCTACTGCCAACCGGGCGGTGCGGGGCACGCCAGCCTCTCTTCTACGCCTCTCGTGCCTCGCGGCGCCTCTGCCCGCCATTGCGGCGACGCGTCGCGGCGGACCTGACAGTTTTGCCGCGACGGGCGCGCGCGCGTTTTCGAAAAAAGAAAAGGCCCCGGGGATGACAGCTCAGTCGATCGATTTGCGACAAGCGAGCGATCCGAGGATCGAGCGGGTGGGCGATAGGCTAGGGAGATCAGCGCTGATCGATCAACGTCAGCGAGACGCCCGAGAGTGAGTGGCTCACTATACGCGCCTATATGTGTGGTAGTACACAAAGATAGACTCACCATGGTCACAAGTCTTTAGTAAAACGCCAGCACTCGACACGACGAAGGTGTATTGGGCTCGAAGGCGCGGTGAACACAACCGCCTCGAGCGTACCGCTCAAACACGAGCCGAGGGGGCGGGAGGGGGGGCGGCGGGAGGCGGGAGCTGGGTCCAGTGCGCTCTGCTGCTGGGGGGGTCGGGACCCCCTCCCCAGCAGCAGCGCTCTGCTGCTGGGGGGGTCCGGACCCCCCCCCCCCCAGCAGCAGCGCTCTGCTGCTGGGGGGGTCAGAACCCCCCTAGCAGCAGGGACGGGCTTAGAAGTGCAGGGGGGGTACCGAGCAATGTGCGGCCGCTCCCACCGACGACGTGCAGAAGGACCTACTGAGTTGGCTACTGTAGTCTGGAGACCTAGACATGGCTCTCGAAATCGGTCCGCTGCCCCCCAAACAGGTCCAGGACCTCAAGTACTACCACTCCGACAAGGTTGACGTCCGCCTCTCCGAGGTCATGCAAAATGCGCTCGTGGTTATGGAATACCAACAAGGCGCCCACGAGCCCACGTCCGATATCGTGACGCGCCGCGCCATCATTCACGCCGTCGACAAGTCTCGATTCATCAAGGAAGAGTTTGCCGCGCTGGAGCCCGTGTACCAGCAGATGCCGTTTAGCGCCCCCCTACTGCAACGTGGAGCTGAACGCCTGAACCCCACGTGGGCCTTCGACTTCGAGAAGGCTCAGCTCCTAACTGCCCGGTCCCAGCGGAGACCACGACATCGGACAAGCTGCCCGCATGGGCCATCGCTGTGATTGCCGTTGGCGGCGCGCTCCTTGTCGCCGTTCTCTCGCCTTCTTGTACGTCATGTACACATTTCGAGAAGCAGAACAAGCCTCTGTTTACGAACAGAAACGTCGAGACCAAGGACGTCGAGGTCCGGGACGCCTAGGGGCTGCTCGCCACAGGGTTCATCTGACGAGAGGCGCAACCGCAACTAGATAGGATACGTGAGCATGGCCCGATCGTCGTGCGGCCGGCTAACGAGGAAATGAATGCTGCCGCTGCAGCCTTGTACGGTAGGTGGACTATCGCGCGCGATCCGTAGTGCAATTCACCCCCCGGGAGGACAGGACCGGGACCGGGACGCGCACGGGGCTGGCGGCCGGGAAGCCCGAAGGGGAGGGTTGGTGGAGTCAGGCCGCTTTGCGGGGTCTGTTTCCTCGCTAATCCTCGGTCCTCGCGCACCCCGTGGTACTATGCGCGTCGGGCTGGTGGAGTTTCGTTTCTTTATTTCCCTTCGTACAGCACCCTCTGGAAACTCCATCAATTTTCCGGGCAGCAGGTGCATCATGGCTCATGCGTCATGGGCGGGCCGCTGGCGTGTGGCGACCTCCAACTCGGCTCTCGGGCTACGCCTCTTGGTCCCACCTCCGGCCTCGCCCGTCTCGACTCTCGTCCGGTCGTCGTTCGAGGTCGTCGTCCGCCGCCTCGCCCGGGTCCGGTGGCTCGCCGCCGCCAGCTGATTCGTAACCTGCTGTCCCGCACAGGCTGCTGTACTGCTTCCACTCTGCTCCGGGCTTTGCGATCAACATCAAGACTGAGGCGCCCCCGCAAGCCCCTGACCGCGCTGGCGTCTCCTCCCGTCCAACCGCCCTTCCCGTCGCAGGACGCCACCTTCAAGCTGCGCAAGGGCGCGCTGACGGTGGACGGCTCCTTCATCACCGAGGCGCACGTCGTGGCCGAGACAGGGCGGAAAGGCAAGGAGGGAGAACTCGTGCACGTTACATTCTGGGCGAACGAGCTCAAGTGCGAGCTGCCGTACGGCCAGCGACCCTAAACAAAACACTATACAAGCAGCTGTAATTAGAGAGAAAGCAAGGACACCAGTTGGGGTGTTGCGCGTACTTGTATCCGCGCTACTGTGGGGGGGAGCAGGCCGCGCTCGTCTACGCGCGCCAGCCAGAGACAGGTCATGCAAAATAAATCTGAGTTATATTCCGCGGTGTACACTGAAAGCAGCCACAATGGCTGGCGAAGACTGCCCTGCTGCGCCGATCTTCACCTCGACGCCGCTCGAAGGCCCGAGCTCCGGACGCCAAACGGGCCGGAAGGAGCCGAGGCTGGGTGGTCCGGATGAGGATTCGATCGGCGATGGACCCGTACGAGCGGGTTCTGAGCTGTACTGTGGGGTCAACGGCGTCGTTTGGGCGTCAGGTGCGCGCGCCCGCCGTTTGCGCGCAGAAAGGGCGCGAATTCTTTCCTCGGCACAGCCTTCGACCCATGTTTGCCTTGTGGCGGGCTCTGGCCCTCGCGCTTCTGGTTGGACGCGTGGCGTCAGAGTGTCGCGACATGCACGACCGGTGCCGGGCGTGGGCGCGGCAGGGCGAGTGCTCCGCAAACCCGGCCTTCATGCACGGCTCGTGCGCCGCGTCCTGCGACACGTGCGGCGAAATGCGGCGCGATTGCGGAGAGCTCGGGCCGGATGCGCTGAGCGAGGGCGGGATTACCGAGGCGATGGAGCGTATGCTCAGCCTGGAGGGCTACGGCGGCCGGATCTTGAGCCGCGACCCGTGGGTCATCCTCCTCGAGACCTTCCTCGACAAGGATGAGGTGGCGATGGTGATCCGCGTGGGTGGTCACAACTTCTCGCGCTCGCTCGCCGGCGCGGGCAGCGGCTTCGTGTCGGCGCGCACGTCCTCCACCTCGTGGTGCAACGTGCCGAAGTGCGAGCGGGACCCGGACATGCTCGCCCTCAAGCGCAAGATCACGGGCGCGATTGGCAGCTGCCCGATGGCAAACACAGAGCACCTGCAGGTGCTGCGGTACGAGCCCGGCCAGTACTACCGCTCGCACCACGACCAAAACTCGCCGCACGAGTCGCCGTCGGGCCCGCGCATCTTCACCTTCTTCATCCAGCTCTCGCACGTGCCAAAGGGCGGCGAGACGCACTTCCCGCGCCTCGGCCTCACCGTCGAGCCCAAGCCCGGGCAGGCCATCGTGTGGGCGAGCGTGCGAGACGACGACGTCTACGCCGACGACCCGCGGACGGAGCACGAGGCACGCAGCGTCGAGGAGGGGGTCAAGTATGCGGCCAACTTTTGGACGCACCTGCGCGACTTCCAGACGCCGCACGCCGCCGGCTGTAGCCCTAGCGCGGTGCCATCGGGCACCGCCCGCAGGAAGGAGGGGAGGAGGCGAGCCGAGGAGTGGCGTGCGGCGCGCAGCGGAGAGGGCGGCTGGGAGCGCGGCGACGACGGCGGCGGCGACAGCGGCAGCCTTCAAGTGGAGCTGTGACAGACGCTAGGGGCCCAAGTGGGCGGGCGGGCCGGGCGGCGGGTGAGCTCGTGGCGTGACTCGAGGCGTGACGCGTGAGGGTGAGGGACGGCAGCGGTAGAGACTCGTTAGGTCGATAGGAGGTGAGATATTTGTCGCCCCCCGCTACCCGGTTGCACTCGTGCGACGTAGCGGGGGGCCACGACTACGTTTACGAAAACATAAGTAGAGCTCTACCTCTAGTCCCGCGAGGTGTGAAATACACATTGTGAATTTGGGCCGCCCAGGGTTCTGGCTCCTACCCGGATAGGGGGTCTGTTGACCACGCACCACGGTGACACCCTATGGCTATGCAATAGGTAGGTAGGTCCGGCTTTGACCGCCCCAGAGGGCCCTGCAACAGGTAGGTACCGCGCTGTTTCGTCTTTTTTCGCTTCGCTGCGCGGCCTGGGGAGAGATAAATACGCGTTTTGGCGCGAGTCGTGCAAGACCCCCATCCGGGTACCCCCTGTATCGGAGTTATGGCACACTTAGGAGCTGTGAACGTGAAGAGAGTGGTACCAGAACTGTGGGTCGTTGCGCGGCACGCATGGGGGGCCTCCCGGACGTATGATCCTAGCCCAATACGTCCTACGGAGCACATTTCGATTTTTGACAGAATTAAATGCACTGCCCCCGCACGGTACTAATAGTCGTAGTTTTGGCACCGCTGCCCTTCACGGCACCACACCGCCGCTTGACAGCCCGGGATTAGCCTAGCAGCGAGTGGGCATCGCCTGCCGGTCGGCTGGGCACGAGCCAAGCACTTGGGCGGCCGTCAACCGAGTCCGAGCGGCGCCTGAGGCGGGTGCCACGGCGTCTGCACGAAGGCGTGGCGGGGTGAGGAGCCAGGAGTGGTGAACACCTCCCCGTCGGGCGCGCGGCGCGCCGGATGGTCCGCCGAGGCCGCCGCCGCCCCGGCGGCGGCGATGGGGGCGGCGGGGCCGACCCGGCCGGCGTTTGTCGGCTCCACCTACAGCAGAGCAGTCTCTGTGGGTCGACGATACTAACTCGGTAGTAACGCGGAGCGGTGCTGTGCGGCGCCGAGTTGTGCGCGAGGCGACCTTCTGAGGCTACCTGAGCTGGCAATGGATGCCACCAGGACGCACGGCTAGCAGGAGCCAGTCAGGCATGCCCTGCTGTGGAGCAGAGCCGGCTGGCGCACCGGCGATACTAACTCAGCGCGCCGCGAGAGGCGAATCTGGGCGACTTTGGAGGCGCAGTTCTCGAGCTTGCCGTCGACGATTGATGTCGGGTAAATTGTCACTGCCGTCGGGGAAGGTATTCTCTCAGCAGGCCGAGCGCCGTGGCCTGGCTCGGCTCGCTGCGAACGCCGCGAATTTATCAGTGCCAAAACTAAAAAAAAATGGTACTAACGAAGACTACGATACAGGGGGTAGGAGCCGGAACCCAGACGGGAAAATGTTGCTCGTGTGGCATTCTCGCGCCGCGCCGATGCGGCCGCGGGCCAGGCTGCTGGCCACGGAAACGGCTGCGGTGTTTGAGCTGAGAGTCAATCTCGGTCAGGGTGGTGGCATGGTGGAGGGCGAACTGCAGGCGTTCTTTTCCAAGTCCGAGCTGCTCACAGTGCGCTACCCCGTGCCGGTCGAGCTCCGCGTGAGGCCCGAGAGAGGCGTGCTGCGCGTGTATGAGACGGGCTACGGCCTGCGCGAAGGCGACGTGCTGCGGGCGTGCTCGACGTTTGAGATGCGGTTTGACTCGGCGGCGCGCGAGACTCGCCTCGGTCCCGGCTTCCATGGGCGGCCGAATGGCGACGCAATCGCTCAGGGGGGAGGGCGAGGCGCGGCGTCCTCTATCCCCTGGCTTGAGGGTGGCTGGTGGCGCGAGCAGCTCAGCCGCACCGTGGGACTGCGCGAGCCGCAGAATCTGCCGGAGCTTGGGGTATTCTCCGAGACGGCTCCGACCAAGGTCCTATTTGTGGCCGACGGGCAGTCTTTTGAGCGCGTGCGCGACGCATTGCTCGCGAATGTGCCCGACAAGACGGACAATGTAGTCATGCTCTTTGAGCGGCCGCTCGACCCCAAGGCGACGAGGCCGCGGGACCTCTCGAGTCCACGCCCGCGCGTCCCGCCCAAGGGTGAGTCCTTCTCGCCGCTGACCGCGGACGACTTGAGGGATCTGTTCGGTGAGAAAGGGTGAGCTGTTCGCCCCAAATATATGCGGTCCGATATAGCTGTGAAGAGCCGAGACGTAGTGGCCCCCAGAGGAGAGACAGAGGCTCCGAACACAGGAAGCCAGAACAGCAGGAACCAAGAGCCAGAGTGCAGAGGGCCGAGCGCCATGTGACAAAGCCCAAATGTGACATTCGTGTGTGGGCGCTGGCGTCGTGGCGTGGTCGAGTCTGCATATGTGTACACGTCCACCGCGGATCTGACGACGTAGAGTGCCTAACACCCTCCCACCAGATTTTGCTGCGATGGGGTGCGTCGAACCGTCAAAGAGGCCACGGAGCCGGGGGCCGAGTTTTGCCTCTTTATCCCTACTGCGCCTCCTATTGCCTCGGGCTCAGCATAGTTGAAGACGGAAATTGCCACCAGCAGAGAGCCAACTGCCGTTGGAAACGTGGCGGGGCCGTTAAGAAAGATCGCGGAGCCGTAGGTCACGAGGACCACCGACACTGAAGTGGGGAAGTTCTTCAGGACGGCATCCGTGTACTTGAGGCACGAGGCCACCAAGATACCACCCGTAGCAGAGGTTGCAACGATGCCGCACGTCGTGAGAGACCAGTCATCAAACGTGGCTGCCGGCCGCGGAAAGCTAGCTAGGAATGCGTACCCGACCGCCGACCAAACCGCCATTTGCACGTTCACCTCCCAGATGGAGAGCGACGCGGCGGAGCCCTTGAGATATTTCTCGATGTACACCGACGTGAAGCCGCCGAGGGCTGTCTGCAGTGCGAGCTCAGCTAGCCCAACCACGAAACCATCAACAGAGGCAAACAGCTGTCTGTCCGACTCGGCTGAGGCTGCTGCCATGCTGCTGTTTTTGCTGCCTCTGCCACTTTTGCCGCCGACAACGGCGCTGCTGAGCCTTCGCGATGCGAGTGGCGAGTCGCACAAGTCGTAGCCCGACTGGTGCACGATGAGTGCGACGCCAGCCACCAAGACCAAAAGCGCGCGCCATTTTCGGAGCGAGGTTTTGCGGCCCAGCAACCACATCTGGGGGCACGGCAAGGAAACTCACGAGAGCCGGGCCCCTTGGGGACGCGTGGCCGGAGTGTGTGGAGGAGCGGGCGGGGCCGGCCGGCCGGGGGGGGGGGGGGGGGGACCGAGAAGATTGCCGACCAAAGAGTCTTAGTCTGCAGTCCGACCGTGAACGTAGATGCATCGAGCCGCGCCACGGCATCGAACTGCAACATGTTCATCACGAGGAATGCGACGGCCGGCACAGCGGCTGGCGTGGATTTGCGGAGGAGGACGAGAAGATGGCAGGGGTGGACGCCCCCCGCGACAAGCGAGGCGGTCAGCTTAACGAGCTCGGCAACCTGACGGTTCGTGTGGGTGCGAAATGCTCGGTGAGATGGCCGGGCCCTGCGCCAGCTGAGCAGGCGGTTGCCGCACCATCAGGACCGAAGAAGAGGAGTAGGTCTCTCCTAACGTGCGACGCGACCAGGAGCGAAGCATCACGTCACATACCGTCTGCAAGCAGAGGCCTGACAAAATTAGCATCTGAGCCCTGCCCGATATGGTGGCATTGACTGGCAGAGACCGATCAGGAGCCGGTGCGGTTTCCGGCTGTTCAGGGATGGGCTCCAACTCGGGGCCGAGATCTTCGGACGAGGCAAGCTTTGTAAACGTCGGAACCGTGATCTCCTTTGATACCGCCCAAGCGGCAACGCGGGCCGGCATTCCGTCGGAGCTGTGGCAGTGCGAGCTCAGCGCACGAGCGCCAACAACCTGCACCCAACCCCAAAGGTAAATTTTGGCCGGCCGTTTGTACCTTTTGCCTATCAGATGGATCGAAGAACAGACACAAAGTCGCACGTCTTGATGAACCATAGAACTCATACAATCCGGCAAGAGTGTTATTCTCCCTCCAGGGTCCAGGCAGTAGACTGCGGGTCTTTTTCTTTCTTTCTTATTATGCAAGCCGCCATACTCCTCATTTAATCTTTCTCTCGAGGTTCTCGAGGTGTGGATATCCTTTGGCCGCGTTGGGTTGCAGCTTTTTTTCTTGTTGGCCAAGACTCGTCGGGACCTCGGGACGTCGCATCACCATCAGTCATCACAACATCAGTATCCGCCCCAGGAGAAGTCTCTCTCTCTCTCTCTCTCTCTCTCTCTCTCTCTCTCTCTCTCTCTCTCTCTCTCTCTCTCTCTCTCTCTCTCTCTCTCTCTCTCTCTCTCTCTCTCTCTCTCTCGCCCCCCCCCCCCCACCCACCGCCCCCGCGATGCCAGAGCACAGTCGTGGTTGGTTACCCACACACCGGCCGGGTCATCTTGAGTGACATTGGTACTTGCTTGGGAGGGGGCGAGGGGGTTGCTGGGGGCCGGGCGGCGGCAGAGAGTTAGCGGGATTTTGGCCCCACGCACAAACACAGCTGAGGGAGGGTGTAGAGGATGTAGAGTGTAGAGCGCTGTAGAGCTGTAGAGATGTAGAGCGCTCCGGAGTGCTGTAGAGCTGTAGAGCTCTACATCCGCCGCGGGACGAAGCGGGTGCGTTGTAGAGCGATGTAGAGGCGCTCTACAACGTGAAATCTCTACAACAAACTCTACATCATAAGCGGCGAACGAGGCACGGTCGCTCTCCGACATGAGGCGCGTTGCACTTGCCAGTGCTGCCCTGGCCTTCTGTCTGCCCGCCCAATGGGTAGGAGGTGCCTCTACTGCTATGGCATGCCTCACGGCTGCGACTGGCCGGCGCCTCGGCGCGTCAGCTCGGCTCGGCGTAGCGATCGTAGCCAGCGCAACTCGCCTGGACTCAACGCTCAGCCAGGAGCTCCCGCACACGCTGGCGCGAGTCATGGCGCATGCAACGCGTCTGAATGCTCGCCTCGCCTCGCGCAAATGCGACCGCCCTCGCAGCCGACAGTCCACCGCCTGCTAAAGAAGCACAGCGATGAATGCGGCACCGGCGACGCATGGCAGGCTGGTCATGACGCAGTTAGGTGTTTTGTGCCGTCAGAGTGACTCTCTGTGTGTCAGGGATAGTCAGGGCCGTCCATCAGAGCTCCAGTAAGCTCGGAGACACCCCATTAGTGCGACTCGACCTCTTTGAGTCACTGCCTTCCCGGCGGTTTGGCTGTAGAGCCTCTACAACAAACTCTACAGCAAAATCGCGCTCTACATCGCTCTACAACGCACCCGCTTCGTCCCGCGGCGGATGTAGAGCTCTACAGCTCTACAGCGCTCTACATCTCTACAGCTCTACAGCGCTCTACACTCTACATCCTCTACACCCTCCCTCAGAAACACAGCAGATTTGTTTGGTATTGCAAAAACTCTCTCTCTCTGAGAGCAGCCGGTGGCCGTCGGCACTAAGCGCGCGGCCGCCGGGCGCCTCCGAACCGACAGGGGCGCCGCGGCAGTAGAGAGCACTCCAGCCGTTGCTTTTTTCTCCCGCGTTTTTTTCCTTGGACAGTCAGAAGAAACGAAAAAACGAATTTCGGCGCGGTGCCAAGCCCAACCAAGACCTCCTCCTCCACTGCTGCCTGCTTTCCTCCGATTTCGCGGCAGTCATCAAGGCGTTGTGGTAACAAAACGGGCGCAGACGCTCTCAACGAAAATGTCTAACGTTTCTCTGCTCGGCGGCTGCTTGCCAATCAATACCAGCTCCGCAACGGTAGAGGAAGCGACCACGAGCCATCTTTGGATGATCGGCGTCGTGCTGATGCTGATTGGGTGCGCGTCGTCGGCGACGGGACTTCTGTTCATGAAGCAGTCCTCCGTCATGGGCGAGGGCAAGAAGACGCTCTGCCGGAGATGGCGGTGGATTACTGGCTTTGTCCTCCTTGTCGTCAACGCGATCTGGATCGACATCATCGCCTTCTCCATCACGCCTATGGCGCTGATCGCTCCGTTTGCAGGCATGACGATCGTCTTCACCCTCCTCATCTCCGCCACCGGCTGCGTTACCAAGCGGGAGGCGCCGCTCGGACGATAGAGTCCGCTCGGACGAGAGAGTGCTTAGTCAAATGCACGCCTCTAAATATTGTGCCATAATTAATTGATGCATGCACGCAGGACACGCCTCTTTAACTCAATGACTTTATGCTCGCATCGCATGCACCCATCCGCCTGTTTGCATTCCCCCTTTTTACCACCTCCAGGTACCCAGCCGATGGGAAGCTGCGTACGTCCGAGCCATCCCGGGGGGGCGGGACCTCTCCGGTGCTCCCTCGCGCCGCTCGCCCCGCAACGCGCCGGCCGCGTCTCGTTTCCTCCCCATAACCACCGTCACACCACCTCTCATCAGGGATCCTCCTCGTGCTGCTCGGTGTGACCCTCGTCTCTGTCTTTGGTCCCCACGGAGACGGCTCGCCAGAGGCATCCCCCTGCCCCATCTGCCCACCCCTCCCCCCCCTTTTCTCCCCCACCCCCCTACCACCCTTGCGGGTATGCGCCCCCGCCCGCTCCATTGAGAAAAAGAGAGGGAAAGAGAGGCTCCTCATCGTAGGCGCTCCACTTTTCCTTTCGCTCCGCGCTGCTGGCGGCCGGTGTCGCGGGCTACATCGCCGCTTGGCTGGTCCTCCACTGCCTCTCCACACGCCGCCGCCGCGCAGCCGACCCCCCGCCCGGCGGCGCTCTCCCCCCCGCCCTCTCGCACCGCTCCCGGGCCGCGCGCGCGCTCTCGGACGAGATCGCGGAGGAGTCGGCGGATGCGGCAGCAGCAGGGACCGCGCCGCCCACGGCGGCGATCGGCGGCGGCGCGCAGGCCTCAGCGGTGGAGACGATTGGCACCTGCCTGGCGTCGGCCATGTGCGGAATGGCCACGCAGGTCGCGCTGAAGCAGGTGTCAAAGGTGGTGACCACCTCCTTCCTCGACCTCTCCCACTTGGGCGAGGCTGGATGGGCCGAGCCGATCACGTGGGCCGCCTTTGTGCTGCTGCCCTGCTCGGCGCCGCTGCAGCTGTGGCTCCTGAACAAGGCCCTCGCGGGCGCAAAGGTGTCCTACTCCGTGCCCGCGTACCAGTCGCTCCTCATCGTCATGAACCTGCTCGCCGCCGGCATCTTTTACGACGAGTTCACCTGCCACCCCGAGGTGGTGCCATTCGTCGCCGGGGGCATTCTCGCCGTGATCGCCGGACTCGGCGTGGTTGACCTCTCTCCCTCAAAGGCACGTGGGCGAACTCGGCCGTGTCATCTCGGCCAGCGCCTCGGCTAGGCGTTCTCTCCCTCACCAACCGCGACGCCGAGGGAGAGGCGAACCGCGACCAGCGCAGCACTCTCCTCACCGACGAGCTGGTCGCCTCTTCTACGCCAGGCCGGCTGGCACCCGAGCGCAGCGACAGCGACGAGCCCCCGTCGCTGCCCGCCCCGCCTGGACAAGCCTGCGTGGGGGCTGCCTCCACCGCTCCGCCTTTGCCGTCTCATGTGCCAGTAGGGGTGGAGGTCCGCAGCGGCGAGGAGGGCGCTGGCGAAGAGCGACTCTCGCATCCTCCCCATGTCACCGCCGAAAAGGCGCGCGCGTCGATGCGGCAGATGGCCTCGGACCTCGAGGCCGCCTTTGAGGGCGAGGGGGAGGAGGAGGCTCGACGACCGGGCACGCCAGTGTGCGGTCACACATCAAGCATCCGCTCCTCCGTCGATTCGCTCTCTCTCGAAGCGGCCGAGGTGTAGCGGCGCACGCGCGGCGGCGAGCGGTCTCGAATGCACCGTAAACCATCGGGGCGACAGGGGCGCATCGGGGCGACAGGGGCGTGTTGCAGCTGCCAGCAGGTTGGCACGTGGGGCAGGGTAGCACGAGGGGCACGACGCACACGCTCACTTGGGCTGGGGGGCAGACGTACACGAGGTTGAACGGAAGTAGCCGCATCCAAGTACGGAACCACACGCCCCCCCCGCATCGCAGTCGGGTCATTGTGTCTCGGCGCAGTCGTTTGTCTACTCATATGCAGCGTGTATGTACTTGTACACAGTGAAACACGCAGAGAGAGTATACACCACCAAAGTAAGTACTAGAGAAAGACCCGGTAATTGTTAAGCCCTCCGTCTCAGAGAGACATCGTACACCTCAGACTCCTCAACAGAGCAGCTCTCACTCACGTCTCACGGTCACGCGTCACGGCAGCTCTCCGACCACTCCTTCCTGGCCTCTGCCATGTGAGAGTGTGTCGCCTTTGCCGGTCCCAAGGCAACCTCTTGTGTGCCGCTTGATGTTGCATCGAGATAGTCTGCCCAGCACTCTCGGCTCTTGACGGGATGCCAGAGCTGCTGCCTACTATTGTAGGCGACTGCTGCCCTGAGAAATGAGTCGCACTTCCAGCACGGGTTGTAGCGGAAGAATGAGGTTGATAAGTGCGAGGTGGAGTTTGCCAGTCTGCGGTGCGCGAGCGCTGTAAACGACGTCCGCTTGCAGCGGTTGCGTGGGAGGCAGCGGGCGGGAAGCGTGATTTCCTCGTATCCGCTAACGCCTGCCGCCCAGCTTTCAGCCATGAGTCGGAGGAACAAACGCGAGTACCTGCCCAGTGACACGAGCGAAAATACCCGCTCTCGCTGAGGCAGCGTGGAGAGGAGCAGCTCATGCGCCCGCCAGTGCACGTAAGAGGGGCTGTCTTCCTGGCTCACATACTTTGGGAGGACCAAGTCACTCTTGTCTGCAGCAGCGTAAGCCACGAGATCCGCCCACGATTTGGTGTAAACCACGTCGGGCTCGATGCGCCAGTAATACTCCAACAGCGGGAACCCGTAACCGAAGGTCTGATTCCACAGAAGAAGCGATGCGTGCACCCACCAGTAGCGTTTAAAATTGCGTTCCTCGGACGAGTTGCCCAGGTAAACACGGGACGCCGCTGACGCGCTCGACGCTAGAGCTGGAAACGCTCGTCGAATGGCACCGTACCCCCATGCGCAAACCCCGGCTCCGATAGATGCACTCTCGCCGCTAAGGATGCGGACATCCTCCATGTTCTCCTGATACAGCAGTACCCACATTTGTGTCGACATTGCTGGGCCGCGGCTCTGGCTGAGCTGACGGGCATAGTGCCGGTACAGGCGGACGTCGACCTCGCCCAGGGTGTGTGTTGCGAAAAACATCAGCTGGGTGACGGATTGCGACGCCGGCTCCGCTTCGGGCGGGAGCGGTTGCTGCCACATGCGCAGGCATGCACATACGCATACACAGACAGACGGGGCATGCACATACCCGGGGCGGTTCGCGATGTTGCAGTCCTAGCGCCCGCCGTGTGCCGGTCCGAGCTCGCCCGACGGGAACAGTCGAGAACAGGGCCTCTCTCCGACGGAGGGAACGACCTGGCCCGATTTCGTCTGCTGGGTCGCGTACACCTCCCGCCGTTCGGTGAGCTTGCGCCTTGTCTACCTCCGGTTCCGGCCTGCCTGGCTGCGGAAGCCGGGAAAGTTCGCACCTCGTGTGTCACGCGGCCACTCCAGCGGCGGTATGCCGTCCATCAGCACCACCACCGCCCGCACCGCCGCCGCCGATGGCATGCGGGCGAACGGACGGGAGGGCCGAGGGCTTCCGCTGGGCGTGCGCGCGTCGGGCGTCGCGGGAGGCCCCGGGGAAGGTGGCGCACCGTGGTGTCGAGGGCGTTGCTCGTGGGCTTTGTCGCGGCTTGGCTGTTTGGCCGGCCAGCTAGTCAGGCGCCGTGGCTGGCGGGGAAGGGGGGAAGCGGTGGATCCGCGCCGTCGTAATTCTTTCAGTATAAACACGCGGAAGAAATACATGTGCGACGTAGCGGGGGGCTAAAATCCGTCCTGGGTGTGGCGCGAACAGCTTCAGCTTTTCTCGCCGAGCTACGGTTCCAACGCTGCAGCACTCTCCCTCTATTCACAGCAGAGATGGCGACGCGTCCTTACGCGCGTCCTCGTCCCCACCTGCTTTGCTTCAACGTGCTGCCATGGAGCCAGCGCGCCTCGCGCCATGATTCAATCGCCATGGCCGGAGCGCTGTGGATCGCAAAGGCCCATGGGCCGCTGCGCAGGGCGGCACGCGCAGGCGCTACACAGATCAGAGCATTGGCGCCGAGAGCATTCATTTCCGCATTCAGTTGTCGTTGTTCTGTCGGCTCGAACAGCCCGTACAGCCATTCAGCGGCTGGTGGACGGCGCGCAGTCTCCACGCGGATCCGCATCTCGTGCACACCGCAAGGCGCCGCCACCACATGGACCAGCCCGATGGACTGTGTTTGTGGTCGGGGTGGACAGTTTGCTGTTCAGCGTATCATTGAGCAGGATGAGATGAGCGTCTAGTGGTGACGCGGGTAACGGGCGAGGTCCTATGTGTCTGTCGGCCCTGGCATGTGTTGTCTGTCCCAGGGCGTGGGGAGGCACAACGCCCAACCACGCCAGGGCCCCGTCGAGATCGTCGTCGCCGCGACATCGAGACCTCCGGTGATCTCCGGTGATCTCGGGTGATCTCCGGTGATCTCCGGCGGTCGGGCGGCGTCGATCTCCGAGAGGGAGTCGAGTCTAGCGTTCCTCAAGATGACGCACTACTCAACTCAACCCCTACGCCCGCATCGACGTGGGAGACAAGGCCACCCCTCGATGCTACCTGCTACCAAGCGGTGGGGCAGGAGATTGGAGGGGCCCCTTGCAGAGGGGGGGTCGCAGACCGGGGAGCCGTCCTGCGACCTTGGTCCGTCCTGCGTGAGCACGAGCCGCCGGCGAGCCGCCGGCCGACCCACTTCGACAACAATGCCGCCCACGATCACCCCGCTGTCGGCTGCGGCTGCGAATGGCCATCTCGAAGTCGCCACGCGCCTGCTCGAGGCTGGTCACGACGCGAGCGCACCCAACCCGAACGGTGACACCGCGCTCATGCTGGCGGCGGCGGCCGGCCACCTTGAGATCGCAGAGCGCCTGCTGGCATCTGGGTCGGACCCGAACGCGGTGGATGCACAAGGGCACACGGTGCTCATGTGGGCGGCCCAAGGAGGCCACATCCCGCTGATCAACCGCCTCCTTGCCGCTGGCGCAGCGCCGAGCGCAGTCGTCGAGTCAACCGGTTTCACGCCTCTTCTGGCGGCGGCGCGCGCTGGCCATCTCAAGGTGGTGGAGCGGCTTCTCGAGGCGGGCGCCGAGCCGGGCGCCGCCGACGCCGACGGCATCAGCGTGATGCTGTGGGCCGCCCGCCGCGGCCATGCGCGTGTCGTGGATCGGCTGTTGAGCGGCGGTGCGGACCCGGGCAGCAAAGACGCGAACGGCGTGACGGCGAGCATGTGGGCGGCGCACGGTGGGCACTGGCCGGTCATCCAGAAGCTGCTCGACGCGGGCGCCGACCTCAACGCCGCCGACGCTGACGGTGGCGGCGCCTTGCTCTGGGCGGCGCGCAAGGGTTGGCTGCCGGTGGTCGAGAAGTTGCTCGAGGCAGGGGCCCTGCCTCAGGCGACCGACCGCTTCGGATCGACGGCGGAGGGGGCGGCCACGAAAGCGGGCCACCTTCTCGTCGCCGCTCGTTTGCGTCAGGCCGCGGAGCGCCTCAGCCAGCAGTCAGACGACGGTGACGCGGCGCTCGCGCGGGCCGCGGCAAAGGGGCGGCTCTCGGACATAGAGCGGCTGCTCGACCCAATGGTGATGGCGGCGGAGAAGTACGCGGCCGAGATGGAGGCGCGGGCGGCGAAGCGGGCCGAGCTCTCAAAGCTCAAGCTCTCGGACCTGAAGAAGAAGGCGCGCGCCGGCGGCGAAGACGAGTCCCGCATCGACGAGGCGCTCGACGCCGACTCGCCAAAGGACGCCCTGATCGAGCTGCTCCTGGGCGAGAAGCCAGAGGACCCGGCCGATGTGGCGGAGCGGGAGGCCGCCGAGGCCGAGGCGCAGGCAGCGGCCGAGGCCGCCGCACAAGAGGCGCTGCGCAAGGAGCTCTCGTCAGTGAAGCTCACCGAGGTCAAGAGGCGCGCGCGCGCCGCGGGCATCAGCGAGGAGCGGATCGACGAGGCGCTCGATGCGGACTCGCCAAAGGAGGTGCGAATGTGCTACGCTTGCCCCCTCGACAGACTCGAATCCCGCCTTCATTGCAGCCGCACCGGGAAACGCCCCTTTCCCCGTCTTCAGGCGCTCATCGAGGTCGTGGTGCTTGAGCCACCGCGGCCGCCAACGCCCGAGCCACCGGCGCCGCCGGCGCCCACACCCATGCTGGCGCCGCCTCCGGCGGCGGCAGCGGCGGCACCAGTGGCGGCGCCAGTGGCGGCGGCCCCGGAGCCACCATCGCCGCCGCCGGCTGCGGAGGATCGCAGCTCCTTAGCGACACGCGAGGACGAGGCGACAGCCGTGCCTGCGCCCGAACCGGTTCCCGTTCCGGTGCCGGTGCCGGTGCCGGCGGCTCCCGCGCCGGCCGAGGCTGCTGCGGCCCCGGCTCCTCCGCCACCCTCAAAGAAGGAGCCTTGCGTCGCCGGCTCGCTGGTCTACGAGGACGGTGACGGGGGATCGCTGATGCTGCAACTCACCAAGGATGAGCCCATCGACGGAGCGCTCGCCTATTTCAAGTCCAAAGACAAGGTCAAGATGCCGCAGCCGCAGCAGCTCAACAAGAATGGCGGCATGTCCGACATTGCCCCCGGTGTGGGTGAGGGCAGCGCAGAGACCTTCGAGGGTGCGCCTCCACCTTGGCCTGCACATCCCACAACCTCGGTGCATTCATTTCTCACACGGCCCCTCGCCTGCCTGCCCGCCTCCACGTTCGTTGCAGGGTTGTGCGAGTTCTTCCGGCAGGCGCACAGGTACGGCGCGCACGAGGTGTGCTTCGTCGGAGGCGGCAGGGTGAAGCCGGTGGGCGTGTTTCTGGGCAAGTCATCCTTCCGCGGCATCAAGGTTTCGCCACAGCCGCGTGGGGCACTTTTCGACATTCTTGCGTCCACGCACCTCGCTGTGGTGCCCGAGGGCGCGGACCCCTACGCGGGCATCGCTTCCCTCTCCGAGACCATGTTTGCCAACACAGCCAAGAAGGAGACCGGCCCTCGCCTCCGGCCTCGACACTCTCATGCCCGCCCAACCGCAAACTCGCATCTTAGGCCGGCGGCGCCTCGCTAAACCTCATCACTGCGCCGATGCCTACCGCTACCGCCGGCGGTCTCACAAGTGGCGTGCGGCGTGCCTCCACGGCGGCGGCCTCCAAGCCCAAGCCCAAGCCGAAAACGACAGAAGAGTTGCGTGCGCAGCTCGAGACGATCCAAGCAGCGCTGGTTGCTGATCCAGGCAACGCACAGCAGACGGCGCTCAAGGGCGAGGTCGTGACGGCGCTCAAGGCGCGCCTCGAGGAGGTAATGGCGAAGCTGGAGAACGACGCAGACAATGAGGAGATGCTCACCCTCGCCGCCGATCTTGAAGAGGTGATCGAAAATGCCGAGAAGTAGAGACATCCCCCCAGCCAACGCACATACACACCAACACACACACACACACATGCATCACCAGTCGGTGTCAACAACGAAGAGGCTCTCATATCCTTCCGTGACCCGGTGTATTGAGATTTTGGGACTAGCTAGACACTGACTGTGAGAGACGCAGCTGCTTCGAGGCTGTTCCCACTCTCTCGGCTCGCGAGACTCTGTAAGATTTGCAGTTCCAGAGACACCCACTCCCACACGGCAAACCATGTTGTCCCACAGCTCTTATGTCGAATAAAATGTCATTCTTTGCGCATCAACACCCGCGTGTAAATCGGCGTTAAAATGAGTGCACCGCAAGGCACACCCGTCTACTTGAGGTCTCGCCGCCCGGCGTGCCCGCGCGACTCTCTCTCCGGCTCCACCCGCAAAAAAAGAAGTTGAAACCGGAAAGTGCTGTCACGCCCGTGATGCGTGCCAGTCGAGCATGACAACCACGACTGTCACGTTGTCACTGCAGAAGCGGTGCTGTAGGCTGGCTCGCGCCAAGTGACTAGCTGCGGCGGTCGGCGAATCGCCCGAACGCCGCAAGCCCTCGCCGACAAGACGAACGACGTCCTGGTCGGTCCACAAGTCGAACACCCCATCGCATGCAAGCACGAGGAAACGATCTCTCGGCGAGAGTTCGTGGACCTGATGAAGCGAGATGGCGCTCAGCCGCGAATTCAGATTTGGGGATGGAACGGGGCCATGCACCGTAACATCTGGCACTGAAGAGAGTGGCCCGCTCTCGCCGCGCTTTGGCAAGTGCTTGTACGGAAGGTCTCCAAAGGCGCGTGATAGAGAGAGACCGCCGTTGAGTCGAGCAACGCCAAAGACATATTGGACAGAGCCGCCCGCCGCTACGATTCGCGCTTGCTCGCTCGGAGTTCCTGGCTTGTGGTCCTACTAACCATCGCGCTTTGCTGCTCGAGTGTATGTGGAGAGGGGAGGGCTAGAGCGGCGCGCAAGGCCTCGGAGAGGCGGACAGCCTCGGTACCCCTACAGAGCACCGCGCGAGAGTCGCCAAGGTTGCCCACGATGAGTTGGTGCCTATCGTCATAAAATAAATTGTGGGCGAAGTTGTCAAGCCTCATGCTTGTGGAGAGACCGCACCCGTGGATGAGGCAGGTGATAGCAGTGCAGCCGTCAACCCACCGGCCGGCGACTGCCCTCGATAGCACCTCTTCCTCAGTGGCGTGGAATGCCCTCCTCACCACGGCTACGAGCTCCCCGGGCGGGAGTTCCTCACTGCCGCCGGCTCGAAGCCGCTCCACTAGCACGGGTTGGATTTTATTCCAAAGAAAGCCGCGTGCAATGTTGGCCGCGCGCACGCCCGCGTGCCCATCGAAGACGCCATAAAACCCGCTGTGGGGCCACGTTTCGGAGCCGGAGAGGCGACACAGTTTCCCCCGCCATGACGTGAGCCAGCCGTCGTCCACAGCAATGTGCCGGTCCTCCATCGTTCTCCGCGGTCCCTGCGCCGAGGCGGCTCCCGACCGCAGCAGAACCGCGGCTTTCTCCACGCTCTGCGCACGAATCTCATCTCGTGGCTTTGCCAACTTCATGGGAGGCTTCATTGGAGGAGGAGCCACGCCCTCTGCTCGTGCCAATCCCTTTGCACGTGAGAAGGTGATGCGGCCTCGACTTGGGCTGTGCGCTGGCAAGTGACCAGCAGCACCGGCGCCGGCGGATGCTGGCGGCAAGGTGGTGCTTCTCCTACGATCCATCGTCGGAGCGTGGGGTCGGCTGGATGATGTCGGCGGCAAGGTGGTGCTTCTCCTACGATCCATCGTCGGAGCGTGGGGTCGGCTGGCCCGGTAGCGACAGGCTGGTAAGCCAATCGCGCGTAAACATAATCACGGATTTTACGATGTGTCACCTCCCAAGTACCCCTGCCCAGGGGCGAGGCTGGGGCGAGCCCGGCGAACACAGGAAGTACCTCTAGGCCCGCGGTTGTGTGTGTGCGTGCGTGATCTTGGGTTGTTTGTGCCCTGGTTGGTTTGAAGCGCGCAGCGCCATAGGTGGGTGGCATTTTCTTCTTGAGCACTTGAGCACTGGATAGGGTCGATTCCGCATGGTACGGGACCCCTCGATCGTCTCGCCCTCCCTCGCTGGTGTGTTCATTGGGGGGGGGGGGGGGGTCATTTATTCTCAATATCAAGGTAGTCTGTGAATAGTCGTCAGTCGATCTCTGACTCTGTCTGTCCGTTCTCGACTGTCCGTTCTCGACTGGAGCCTTCTGCTTGATTGTGTCCGTGCGTGACCTTGATGTTCTTGCTTGTGTGTGATTTTTTTGTGAACCTTAGACTAGGCTGCGATAGGATGTGTATTCCTTCTCAATCAAGGCCTGTGAATATACTAGCGCTAGCGGCGCCGTCAGACGTAGGTGTCTGCGATTTTTTCTGTGTGTGAAGCCTCCCTCAATCAACCTCTCTCTCTCTCATAGACTAAACATAGACCAGCGCGCAGAAGCACACGACGTATTACGTATTTTCTTCTTAACCCTTTTGCTTCATAAGGGTCCTGAGGACCAAATCTCGATATATCTCCAGTCGTAGCGGTGGAACTTTAAAACGGCTCGGTAAATATTTAGCCATATATGAGAGGATTACGGCACAGTGTCGTTTGAGTCGACAGTAACTCTCCCACAGCCCACGTAACTCCGTCTTTTTCAGGCACCCGGAGCCCGCCGCGGCCGCTTCTACGCCGGCGAAGCACCATCAAGCTGCTGTACGGCCCCGGCATCGCCTCCCCTGGCTTAGCTCTCAGTCAAGATATTGTGCACATGGGTGGCCTCTACAATATACTCACTGACACTGAACCTCCCAGAGCTCGTCCCGGTCCGTCACGGCCATCCTCGTCCTCCGGCGGGCCCCCGGCCGCGGCGCGGTGCGGCGGCGTCACAAATCCGACCACAGAGCACCGGGACGCGGTCGGGCGATCTGAGGCCCAGGTAGGCGAATGCATTGCCCATCCAGGGCTATCACCTGGACCTATCAACAGGCGCCTGCGGCGCCGTGCTCAGGAGTTGGTTTTCACTCGCTCGAAATGTGTACGTAAAAGGGTTAATAACAGTGTGTTAGTGCCAGTCCCGCGCCCAGTGTCGTGCGAGGGACCTTGTAAGATTATCAATACTCTCTCAACTGTAACAGGGCTGTGATCGTCATGGTCGCCGACAATCCCGACGCCCGATTTTCAGCGGCCATGATAGACGCACCGAAACTGTCCCACGGCAGCGAGAAATCGGCGCAAGACTCGTCTCGCCGTACCCCAGTTGCAGAGGGCCCCGACGTGGAGCAGGCAACCGTCGTCGGGGTCATAGACTCCACGTCCAGCGGAGAGGGCGGTGTGGAGAAAGAGTCCAAGAAGAAGTGGCGAGACTGGCCGTCGAGGCGTCTGTCAATAGGAGAGGGGCAAGAGATGCTGCTGTTCTTTCTATTTGGCATTCCCCTGTATGAGTTCTACCGCTCGCGGGGTGCGCCGACGTTTGAGCTGACACCCTTTTCCCTCAGCTACAATGACCTTTTTGGCCTCTCGTTCCTCCTACTCTTTCTCCTCACACGGAGGCCGTCGTACTTGGTGTTTGCGATCAACCCCGCGCGCAACGGCCTGCTAAAGGCTCTCCAGGCTTCAGTCCCGCATCTCAGACTAGAGGAGGTGAACCCAGAGTTTTATCGCAACATCGTGTCCAGTTCTTTTCAACTGCTCAGCGCGTTTGCAATCGCAATGCTTGCTACGCCACGGCCAATTGCCTTCAAGTTCCTCCTAGGCCGTGAGGCCCAGATAAACTGCGTTCCGAGCAAAGGGGAGGGTCGCTTCGCTTCGGTGTGCGAGAACAGCGCCAAAAACCGGTTTGGCATTATCGTTGCAGCTTTGTTGGTCAGCGCTGGAGTTGGTTGCACTGTCTATGCGTTGATACGGCACACGGACAATTTCACGGACTGGTTGTCAGAAGACCACGGCTTGAAGATCATACTCGCACTGCTACTCGGCGTCTCAGAGGAGGTGACGTGGCGCGAGGCGTGCATGAACGACACCAACAACTTGGTGCAGGCCGCCATTTGGGGGTTGAATCATTTCGTCGTCGGCGAGGGCATGGACGACCCGCTCGTGTACGGCATTGCGACTTTTGGATACGCCTGGGCGCTCGGCGTCTGCCCGTACCGCCTGCCTCGCTACTTCTCGCATGTCGCGATCGAGTATCTGGTGATGGACAACCTCGTCCAGGTGGCGGAGGTGGTCGAGCGCGGGATTCTGCCGCTGCAAGGGACGGAGCCCCTCGTCCCATCGCTCACGCGCAGCCTCAGCAACTACCATAATTTCAACTAGCTGCGCGAAGTTCCCTTCGGGGGCTATGACCTCCTTGCACACTGACTGGCGGCCTGCAGCCGTTGCAGAAGCGATAGACTTGTAGACGTCAGGCCTGTCAGACTCGAGTCCAAACTTTTTATCTCGGGCGTGTTCTGTGAGACTGTGTATTCTGACGTAGTCTATTCGCATGTGCCTCTTTTCGTTATTCAGAACGACGAGAGAAAGAAAAGAACCGAAAAACCGCACGGAATATCTCACACCCGCCAAGCAAGGGAGATGGAGGGGAACGGCACAGGCCGCCACGCAAGCCCCCCGCACGAAAAAAGCTCTCTGACTCAACGAGAAATAAATAAACAAAAACGGACACCTCTACTGTGAGGTGGGTAAAAAGGAACAGGTCACCTCGGTGGTGAATCAGGTCGCGCCGCCCCTTTTGCCACGACGCACGACGACGAGAGCGCGACAGAGAGAAGCGGCAAGGCGCAAGCGCGAGAGAGACAGCAGACCGCTCCGGACTTCTCCAGAGACAGCTATCAGCTTTGACCTTCGTGTCTTTTCGTTCCGCGCGCTTTGTAGAGCGTTTAACGATTAAACATATAACGTTTACTGTGAAATGAATCCCTATACGCCCCCGTGTCTCGTCTGTGCGCCCCACGCAACATCGGACAGAGGTGAGAGAGGTGCTAGAGGGCGGGCGGCGCGCTGCCTCTCCCTGCCACAAGCACGCACCCCCTCGCCCCACAAGTGTCCCCCATATAGATCACCCCGAAGCTCCTCCCTCGCCCACTCCCATATTGACAAAGAGCACCCTCGGCTGTCGACGCTGCGCACTACCTGCTCTGCACCCTCGGGTGGGCGAGGTAGGTCTAGGTGCGAGCGGTGGGGCGCATGGGCATTGGCATCGAGAGGGCGTCGCTCGGCCGGTGCTCCGAGTTGATGAGCAGAAAATCCTCCTCGAGCGCCGAAAGGTTCGTCCACGTGCTCTCGTGGTACGCCCGCCCCTCCGTGTCGTCCTTGAGCTGCAGCCACGCCTGCACCGTCGAGCGGCGGTCCGCCGAGAGGTGCTGCAGCAGCGCAACAAGGCCGTCGCCGTACGTGTCGTCATACGATACGTACTCGTCGTAGTACTCGTCCGCCTCGTCGATGTCGTCGTCGTCGCCGACCTCGACCATCGACGCGTCGAACACCTCGTCGTCGCTAAAGGCCTCCTCCCCCTCGGCCAACGCTGCGTCGCTCGCGGCGTGCATCGCCTCGGTAACGAACTCCTGCGTGGCGAGAGGCGAGCGGGGCGGACGGATGAGGGTGCCAGCAGTGCACATCCCGCCCCACCCCAAAGAAGAGGCGTGGGGGTCGGTCGGCGGAGGGGAGGCCAGCCGGGAGAGGGGGGGCCGGGCGCAGCTCGGCTTAGCATGACCAACAGCCTCGATCAGCGCACCCAAGGGCGCTCTGAGGAAGGTAGTGAGAAGATGGGGCGAGTCGTCACCGCTGCGCCCGCCGTGGCTAGTGTGGCCCCGATTGCCTCTCTCCTCTCGTGCAAGCTCCCCCCCCCCCCTGGCGGGCCTGCTGAGCGAGCGCCTCGTCCAACCGCATCGTGTCCTTTGGCGGCGCCTTCTTGCCACTCGCGCGCACGGGCGCCTCCGCCGCCTGCTCGGGCGGGTGGGGTGTGGAGTTGGCAAGGGCCGCGACTCGGACTGGGTCGAGTGGGCTGGGCGAGCACGCCTTCGAGGAAGAAGGCGCCGCCTTCCCTTCGGAGGCCGCCGCCATCCACTTCTCCTCGGGAGGCAGGTGCCACGCGACCGACATTCGTTCAGATCTGCACCGAGGGCAGCGCGGCGGTGGGAGTTGCGGGCCCTCGGCCTCTGCCGCCGCTGCGAGGCGGGTAGGGAGATGCGACGCGAAGAGGAGCGCTGTGTGTGTGTGTGTGGGTGGGGGGGGGTCGAGGGGGGGGGGGGGAAGCCTTTGAAGCCAGCGCTGTAGCTCCGCCTCCCTTGCGGGCGACAGCTGCGCACGGATGCCGCGGATCATGTGAGCGGCGACCGCGGCGAAGTAGTCCTCTTTTCTCTTTTTCAGCACGCCCACCCGCATCTTTCGCGCCTCTATCGCGTCCTGCAGCGTGTTGACGAACGACTGCGGCGAGGGGAGGCCGGCGGGGCTCACCGACGAGCGCGGGCGGCACGCGGGGACTGCTTGGGGAGACATCGGCGGGTGAGCACCACCTTGTGTCTCTGCCTGGCGAGGCAAGCAGCGGCGGCCTTGCGAGCGGCCCTCTGGGAAATCGGCTTTCCCTCCTTGGAGGTGGAGCAGTCCGCCATTTCCTGCGAGGGAAGACGCGCAAGTGCGGTGCCCATTGCCGTCAAGAAGGGGCGCGGGGGGAGGGCCGGGGGTTTCGGATGGCCTCTCCCGGCCCAGTGGGGGGGGGGGGTGGTGGAGAGGGTCAGCACATGGGCACCTGTCTAGGGACTGGGACTGCTGCACTCACCTTGCCTCTTGTCGACGTCGCGCCTCAGGGGGCAAGCAAGCTCAACGCGCATCGTCTTTTTTCCCCGCTGGGTCCTCTCCGATTTCGCGTCCACCCGAAGTGTCGAGTCCGACCCTGGCTGTTCTTCACCTTCCTATATTACGGGCACCTGCCTTTTTTTCTCCTCTCGCAAACCCTGCAACACAAACAGCCCTTCCTTCCGCTTCCCGCTTCCGTTCACGGATCACAAGAGAGAGAATCTCTCTCTCTCTCGGATCACGCGGATTACCAACAACATCAACAAGAAGTCACGACTCTCACAGAGATTTGGGCTCGGCAGCTTGTTAGCCCTCGGCCGAAGCTGGGGCCGCCGGTCCCAACAACACGACAGCGACACAAACTCAAAACACAACTCGACTTGAACACCTGCTTGAACACTCACAAACTCCAAACTCGAACGAACGAACGCACCCGGGTCCCGGCGCGCGGCGGGGCCCACAGCCCGAACATCGAAACTGAACGGACAGCGCCGGCCGTGGAAGGCGCTAAAAACTGCGAAACGACCGTTTAGCGTTTTTGTCGCGGAAGGCTCATGCCCTCGCGCGTCGCGGAGCGACGCGGGTCGCGAGACGACAGACGACAACACAAATTTAACAAAAATGAAATGTCTACGTCTCGCGCGCGCGTGAACAGGGCTCCAGGCCCCAAATAGCAAATTACGTGTGAGTGTTAGAGTTGTTTGGTATTGCTAAAAATCTCTCTCAAATTTATGTCCCACCATGCAGAGCGCATCTCTCTCTCTGTTGTGCGAGGCGTGAACCGCGCCATTCGCTCTCACCTGGCAACCCTGTCTGCACGTCTCGCGCGCGCGTGAACAGGGCTCCAGGCCCCAAATGACGTGTGAGTGTTAGAGTTGTTTGGTATTGCTAAAAATCTCTCTCCCAGACGACAGACGCCTGAGCGCTGTACGACTGAATGAAGTATGAACGACCGTCGCCGCAATCGCCACCGCCGCCATTTTGACGAGCAGCGCGAGCGCGCTCGTCGGCGGCCAGTTGGCCTTTATACGTTTTTCTCGCCCAGTACTATCTATATTCTTTTGTTTTGAGCTAGCCTTCGATGTTATGAAAACAAACGCAAGGCGGACACAAGCACATCGCCGATGATCATCGCTCTCTCGGTCCCACAGACATCCCGCACACCCGCCGCACACCCGCCGCCCCCGCGCGCGCCCCACCCCGGCCGGGAGAGAGGGGAGTGACAGTTTGGGATGGCAACAGAACGAGTATGTTGAGTCCTGGCTCAACAACGCAGAGAGAAATGAAAGCCGTCCGGCTCACAAGTCCGGCTCTCACGGTCACGCGCCCCGACTGACCGATCTACCGCACTGATCACTTCCGCCCCCTCGCTCCCAACCCATCCACCTCGCCTCGGGCCGCGCCGCGCGATCTCGGGCCGCGCCGCGCTATCTCGGGCGATCTCGCGCTATCTCGGGGCCGCGCCGCGCCGCACCCCCCCCCCCCCCCACACACCGCCGCCGCGCGAGCGCCGCGCAGCGGCACACCTGCTCAAAAAGCGGACTGGTCGGCAGGATATTCTTTTTCCGTATTCTTTCCGTATTCTTGTCCCAAACAGGGTCTATATTCTCGAATATGCCAAGAATACAGCTCCAAATCGGGCCTATATTCTCAAATATTCTTTATATTCCCGCTGAAAACCGCTGAAAATCGCTTCGAAAAAGAATATAGAGTCGGAAGAATAACGTATAAAGGCCAAGCGGCCAGCCGTCGCGGGCCGGGCCGAGCCCGGCCTCGACCGGCCGCGCCGCCGCAGCAGGCAGGCCGAGAGCGGAGAGGCCCGAATGGCGGCCGACCAGCTGATAAGGATCTCTTTCAAACGTAGGCCGCAGTGTTTCTTCTTTTGGACGGCCTTTCACTGTGAATTCCAGAAGTGTCAGTTAGAGGTTAGTTTTACAACAAAAAAGGAAAAAAACGAAGGCGCTCTCAAAAGAAATTCGACAGCGCGCTCCCCCGGGCGCCTCCACACTGCCTTCCTGGTGTTTTGCCCCTGCCCATATTATGGACATGCAGCATGGAGCCGTTGCATCTGACCCCCCAACCCGCGTATCCTCGAGCACTCCGCTCCGCACTCGCCGCGATGCGTCCTCCAGCTCGGAGCGATAAATCACTCGTCGCTCCGGCCTTCGCTCTTGCGCGCGCACACCCACGGCCGGCTTGGTCGAAGTCGCAGCCACGCACTCTGCACGCGCTGCCGGCGCCTAACGCCTGCTACTTTGCTCTGCTCACCCGCCGCCCATGATGGTGGCCCGCAGGTCTCTCGATCACACAAACCAAGGTATTTTGCGATGCCGCTCCACCGCCCCGGCGGCTCCGGAGAGCCCTCCTCGTCGCTGTGGGACGCGCGGAAGCTTCTCGAAGCGGCACTCACCGCTCCGGAGAGCCCGGTGGCGGCCGGTAGCAGCAGCGGGCCATGCTTGCTTCGGATAGAAGTGGAGCTGGCGGACGCGGGCGATCCGATGCACTGGCTCACCCACCAAGCCGCCTACCCGCGGGTCTATTTCGCCGACGGCGACAAGGACGTCGTCGTCGCGGGCGTGGGCGCTGCTGCGATGGTGCGCAGTGATGGCGCGGTCGACGGCGCAGTCTGGCAGCAGCTGGGCGCGGTCCTCGGCGACACGGCGCGCGCCCGCTTCTATGGCGGCGCGCGCTTCGACTCGCACGTGCACGCCGCGCTGCGGGGCGCCGAGTGGGCGCCCTTTGGCGGTTGCGTCTTCCTTCTCCCGCTGTGGGAGCTGCAGCTGAGCGGCGGCGGCGCCTACCTGGCGTGTCACCTCAGCTGGGGTCGGGGCATGCCGTGCGCCTCGTTCGGACAGGCGGCCGCGGAGGCGCGCGAGGCGATGGAGACGCTCGTGTGGTCCGCGGCGCCTGTCCCCGCGCCGCTGCAGGCGCTGCCCCTCGTGCTCGGCCGCGAGGCTGCGCTCGGAGCCGAAGAGTGGCGGCGGGCGGTGCAAACCGTGCTCGACGGCGCGCAGCGAGGGGACTGGTCCAAGGTGGTGCTCGCGCAGCGCCTCGTGTTGAGCCTGAGCCAGCCTGCCGAGGCTCTCCACCTCCTCCGCTGCCTCCTCGACGCCGGCAAGATGCAAGTCGCGCCCGGCAGCCGGCAGGACAGCAACCGGCAGTCCGAGCGGCGGCCCTCTCGCGCCGCGCCGCCCGGGCCGGCTGACGCCAGCGCCGCTGCCGCCGAGCCCACCACCTCCGCGAGCGGCGCGAGCGCGGGCGGCGCGCCGGCCGCGTCCCCGCCCTCGCCCTCGCGCCCGCCTCCCGCCGCACCCCCGCGGCACGCGTACCTCTTTCTGCTCCAGCCGAGCGCGGACGCCGCCTTCCTCGGCTGCTCGCCCGAGAAGCTCTTCAAGATCGCCGGCGGCTGCTTCTCGGCCGACGCGCTCGCGGGGGGACGCGAGCGCGTCCGGGACACGTCCATGACATGTCCGGGACATGACCTTAGGCCGACGCGCTCGCGGGGACGCGGCTGCGCGGCGAGACGGACGAAAGCGACGTCGCCCTTGCCCAGGAGCTCCTCTCCTCAGACAAGGACTTGCGGGAGGCGCCGCCGCCCCGCGCGCCCGTCCGCCCCACGCCCCGGTCTGTCACAGGGACGTGCCGCCCCACGGCATCGATTCTGCGATGCGCTGACCGCCGACACACACCGGCCGCTGCCCTCACAGGTGCACGCTGTGCGCGACTTTCTGCTGGGCGCTCTGGCAGGGAGGAGTTGATGCACCGACCCACGGCTCTTGACGGCTCGGTGTGCGAACAGGCGCCCTCGAAGACGACTTCACGAACGTCGAGCATTCCCGTCCCTTCGTGCTGCAGGTGCGGCCGCCCCAGAGGGGAGCGAGGAGACGGCCCGGCCTACCCCTCTCCCCTCAGCCCGTCGCCCTCCGCACTGCAGACGCGCCACGTGCAGCACATCTGCATCGCCTTCACCGCGCGCTTGCCGCCCGCCGCGACCAAATCGTTGCGCGCCGCAGCGACCGCCATGCGGCTGCTCCACCCCACGCCCGCCGTCTGCGGCGCGCCGACGCGCGTTGCGCGCGACGCGATTCGCGCGGCGGAGCCGTACGACCGCGGCCTCTACGCTGGCCCCTTCGGCTACGTCTCTGCGCACGGGTCCGAGTTCTGCGTCGCCATCCGCTCGGCGCTGCTGCTCGGCTCGACCGCGCACCTGTACGGCGGCGCGGGCGTGGTGCGCGGCTCGATCGCCGCGGCCGAGTGGGACGAGGTGCACTTCAAGATGCGGCCTTTCCTGTCGCTCTTCCCGGCGCCCTCCTCACTGGTGCGGCGCGCGCTGCTGCGCTACGCCTGGCTGCGCCTCCTCTTCGTGGAGGAGCTGCTCCAGCTTGCCGTCGCCGCGTGGCAAACCGTCTCCTGCTCGTCCAGCCGCAGCTTGCCCGGTCGCGCCGTGTCGCTGCCGCGTGCGCTCCTCTTTGCAGTCAAGGCGCGCGTGCGGCGCGCCTGCCGGATCCCTTGGCTCGCTCTCGCCGCCCACCCGCCGCCCCTCCACGCCGCAGGTCTCTCGGCCGTACTTTTGGCTTGTCACGATCTGGCTCTACTTGCTGCCGACCGGGCAGTACTACCACCTGTGGTCGCAGGCCCGCTTCTGGGCCGGTTTGCTCTACGCCGCCCTCCCGCTCAACCTCCTCTGCTACCTGATGAACGACCTGGCCGACGTGGACGTCGACGTCGACAACCCGCGCAAGGGCGGCGTGTTGTACGGCGTCGTCGCGCACGCCGCGGCGCTGCGCACGGCGGTGCCGACGGCGGTGCTCGCCCAGCTGCCCTTCCTCGCCGCCTTTGCCGTGTGGTGCGGCGCGCTGCAGACGCTGGGGTGGTTCGGCGCGGTCTTCGCAGTCAACTACGTCTATAACTTTGGGCCGCGCGTCTCGTCGCGCTACGCGCCACTCGACCTATTCTGCCCGTGCGGCTACTTGCTCGTCATCCCGCTCTCTTGCGCGCTCAACGGCTTGCCTAGCCCGTCGGTGCCCACGTGGGTGCACACCGTCTTCTTCGTCGTCCGCTCGCAGCTCTGGATCCAGACCTTCGACATTGAGAGCGACCGGCGAGCGGGCCGGCGCAACACGGCGGTCCTGCTAGGTCTGCAGCGCTCCCAGCTGCTCCTGGGCGCCTTGCTGCTCCTCGAACTCGCCTTTGTCTGCACCTCCTTTGCCGATTGGGGCCTCCAGTCCTTCTCCGCGGTGTCGCTCTGCTTGCTGAGCCTACAGGTCTACCTCGGCCCGCAGACAGCCGCCCCGTCGCCACGCGCCATCGGCACAATCTTCGCCGTGCTCGGACTCGGAGGGTACGGTTTGCTGACGCATGTCTGGCTGATGGGATCCTTCATGCCCGAGGATCAGCGCTGCGCGCTCCAGCCCGCTTTCATTCCGGACCCCTCCTGCCGCAAGTGAGTGAGTGGCGTGGCCGCACACTCTGCACTCTGTGGTCTGTGCAATGTGTAGTTTTGTATTTCCCCATTGCTCTCGTTTTTTATATTGTTCGTTGTGTGTCGCACAACCCAGTACGCGACTCGCGAGCACACGCGGGGAACGCAGCGATAACGCATCGCTTCTCGGTGAAGGGGGTGAACCGCGCGCCAGCCTCGATCGCCGTGCTCCAGTACTCTTTTTGCTGTCCCTTTTCTCCCAGTAAGTACGTAACGCCGGGGCGTCAGTCGGCCGAAGAGAGGACGGCCGCTTCGCCCCCCCATGGAATCGAAGAAGCTCCGTCGAGGTAGCTCCGGTGCTAATGAGGGCAGCGGCGGCGTCTTTTGTCTGGTGTCTACTGTCCTCCTCAGTCTATTGGTGGCCGTCGCGATGCTCTACTCAATCAAGATGTTCGGTGCAGGCATCGAGCTCGCGCTTAACGTCGCCGTCGCCCTGCTTATGGCAATCTGCATGAGCAACGGATGTAACTGCTGCCTGAAGCAGGTGCCGCGTGCTGCGTTTTGCACCATTTCTCATCCCTGCCGCCGCGCACTCACGCCAAACTCTCCATTCCCTCTGCGCAGGACGTTGGCCTCGCTGAGGAGTGGTCGCGTGCCTCGGGGATGGCGGTAGCAACGGACGCAGGGAAGAAGAAGAGGTCGCCGCGAGAGAACAACAAGCGCGGACGGAGAAGTGGAGGGTGGGACCCAGACGCCACCGACGACGATCTGGTCGATGTTGATGCTGCCGAGGAAGCCTCGATCCAAGACGATCCGCTCATCTTCCACCCGGTTGGTGGACCCCAGTACGATTACCCCAATGAGGCTACGGCGGGCGCTCGCGTGGTCTATCTCGAGGAGAACGACGACACGCCGCCGGTCCGTGTACGTTTCCCCTCCGGCTTCACGTATTGGGTGTGGCGCGAACACCTGATCGGCGGAGATGGAATGGCATGGCGCGGGCTTGGCAGGCCGCAACTCTTGAGCAGCGACGACGCAACAAGGGCGTCGGGCATACAGCCAAGGTTGCACTACCTGGACAATCTGAGGACGTTCCTTACGCTGGTCGTGCTCTTGCACAACGTTGGGTTCGTCCTAATCTGACCTGAACATCAACACTAACGATGGAGCTCGCACAGCCCAGCATTTCCCTCCCCACTCTAGGTGTGCCTTCACTGGCGACTCTTGGTACTACGCCATCGGCGGATACGTCAACGAGTACCAGGGTGTTATGTTTGTGCTGGCTACCCTTGTGCAGGCCGTTGTCTGGCCGCTCTTCTTCTTCGTCTCGGGCTACTCCGTGTGGCGCTCCCTGCAGCTGAAAGGGTCTCGCGACTTTGTGCAGGAACGCGCATCGCGGCTGGGGACTGCTTATATCGCCTACTCCTTCCTTCTTGGCCCGGCACTCGTGTGCTACGCCCAGTACCTCCAGGGGCCTTGCGTGGGCGCGAGCACGTATTTGTCAGAAGAGTCCGTCGTTGTCTACCCAGCGGGGTGGAATTGGGTTCTGGATGGAATCCGGAGGAGGCTCCGGAGCCTGTCGCAGGCCGACGAGCCGCCCTCAGAGCACCAGGCTTGGATGTCCATGGGCCTGCCGTCGCCGTGGAGCGAGAGCCCCCAATTCTCGGACTGGGAGGGCTGGACCTGCAACGAAAAGTACCGATATCTCCCCGCGCCGGGACATATGTGGTACGCGGGCTGGCTCTTTTTGCTCACATTTGGCTTCGCGCGCTGGTACGACAGCCGTGGTGCCAATGCGTTCATTCCGTGGGCCGTGCCACCTGGGCTCTGCTCGAGCGCGCTCCTCGGGGCGCTGGTGGGCATTGCACAGCGCTTCGTGGTCCGCATGAACGTCGGTGCCGGCACTACCCCCCACAGCCCACTCCCCACTCCCCCCCCCCCCCCCGGGGCCCGCCCCCTCCAGGGGGTTTTGCCTCCCCCCCCCCCCCCCCAAAAAACACCACCACCACCACCACCCACGCGTGCGCAGGCGCTCTCGCTGGCATGCCGCTGACGTTTGGCTCCTTGACGTTCAATGTCGTCTTCTTCTTCGCCGGCGTCGCAGCGAAGCAAAACAAGTGGCTCAGCGCGGCTCTACCTGACTTTTCGTCTTCGAGACGCCACAGCGCACAGCTCGTCGCGGCTGTGAGTGGAGTGGTGCTGTGCGGCGCCGCCTTCGGAGTCAGCTACCACGGCATCAATAGCGTGCCGGGCGCCGTCGCTTTTGTCGCAGCCGGCGTCTGGTGCTTCACATTTGCAGAGGTTATGCTAGACCTCTTCTCGCGCGCCTGCAACTTCGAATCCAAACGCAGCCGCTTCTTTGCCCAGATCGCCTATGGTGTCTACTTTATCCATCCGCTCGTGGTCGTTCCAGTGACGCACTCGTACGTGATGCTGCTACGCAGCAACGGCGAGGTGATCACCTTTGATCGCCCATGGGGCGGCTCCGACTCGTTCCTGTCCTCGCCTCTCCTCCTCCTAGCAGGTTTCGTGTACACCTCGATTCTGTCGATAGCCATATGCTGCGTGGTCGCGTCGTGCCTTTCTCTGTGAAGGGTGCCGCCCTTTTGTGGGGCTCTTGTGTCTTGAGAGGGGCGCGGCCGAGGTGCGAGGAAGACTTGGGGGAGTGGCGTTGGTTTTGTCCGAGCTCCCGATTTTGTAGCGTCGCCACGCCAGGGAGCATGGTGGCGCTAGCCGGCTAGCGGCGATGATGACTTTTCGTCGTGTGGGACTGCTCGCCCGTTTCGAGCGTCGTCGCACGTCGGACGTCGCGATCTACGTGCGAGGCAGCTGTGAACAGGCTGCTGTGAACAGGCCTGGGTTCCAACTTTTTCCGGGGTATGGTATGGTACCCTCGCGGCCCAAAGGGTGGGGGTCATCCCCGGTCTCCGGGAGGCTGGGTCTGTCAGCAGGCGGGGGGGTATGGTCTCGTGGGTTGAGTATACCATACCCCGCAGAAAGTCCAAACCCTGAGTCGTGGAGTGGTGCTTGTAGGTAGACGCGGCAAGGGCCCCTCCTCCCCTGCGTGACAACTGCTCCACCCCCTGGCAGGCCACCTCCTTTCTCATGCTCAGCCTTGCGACGATGGGGGCGCTCGCGCTGAGGGCCGGGCCGCTGGTGTCTCGCGGTGCCAGCACCCGCCTGTCGGCGCTGCAGATGTCTACCTTTGCGACCTTCAAGACCAGCAAGGGCGACATCAAGGCGGAGCTCATGATGGACAAGCTGCCGATCACATGCTCCAACTTTGCCGACCTCGCAAAGACGGGCTTCTACGACGGCCTCACGTTCCACCGCGTTATCCAGGTGTGCACCATATCTGCATTTCACGTTTGGCAAAGGCAGCCATTTACGCACGTCACGACCCCGTGTGGGCGCCCCGCAGGGCTTCATGTGCCAGTTCGGCTGCCCGCACTCGAAGGACCCAAAGTCGCCGCGCGCCGGCACGGGCGGACCGGAGCCGGGCAGGCGCGTCGCGCCCCTCTGTCTCTCACCGCCCGCCCCTCACAGCCGTTGCCCTTGCGACAGCCCTTCCCTCACCACGACTGCTGTCCGACACACCTGCACCCTCGCCGCTGCCCACAGCACGTACACGACGCCCGACGGCACGACCATCACGCGCACTGGGGGTAACATCCCCGACGAGCTGATCGAGCCCATCTCGAACGAAGTGGGCACCCTCTCGATGGCGAACACCGGCATGCCCAATTCGGGCGGGTCGCAGATCTTCATCAACACGAAGCACAACGTGGCGCCGCTACGTGCCAAACGCACACCGAGCGACTCTTCTCGCGACGCACCCGCCGACCCAGCAGCTGCACCACAATCACGCCACCCGAGCACATCTGCAGTCAGCGCGCCCACCCCGTTCCGTTCCGAAGCCGTTGCGCGACACCCTGTTCCATAGGCGTTCCTCGATTACTTTGACCCGTCGACGCCCTCAAAGCACCCGGTCTTCGGCAAGGTGGTGGACGGCATGGACGTGCTCCTCGCCATCGAGAAGGTGCCGACGGGGCCGGGGGACAAGCCCATCGATCCCGTCACGGTCAACACCATCGAGATTAGCGAAGACTGAGCTCCTCCTAGCCCCGCGCGGCGACGCGTGTGCTGGCCACTGTATGCGATGACCGACGCGCGCGGCCGCCCTCCCACACGCGCGGTCACGCGCGTCGGTGCTGATCTGAGATCCGCTCGCGCGGGGCGCCAAGGCCTGCAGGTCTGGCCATGTACGGCTCTATACAAGCAAATCTCTAGTCGACTACAGTGTCCCAGGCTGCCCAGGCCGCAGCCCGCCACACACACAGCACATACAGCACACGTCAGCGCGGCGACGACGCGCGGAATCAGAGCATTGAGGGCAAGCCGGTGGCACGCGACCGAGCGCGGAGCGGGCGGGGGGGCGCGGGGCGACGCCAGGGCGACGCGCGGGAGGAGGAGCCGACGGTGCGCACGGGTCGCGGCGAGAACACAGTGTACGTCGCGCTGCAGCACATGAAGAACCACGTGTGGCGCGAGATCTGGCCGGCGATGCGGGAATGCCGAGCGACGCGAGGCAGTACTGGCGGCTAGTGACCAAGCAGGTGATGTCGCTGTACGACGGCGGCGGCGGCGGGATGAAGGACACGGCAGGAGCCGCCGGCCGGGCGGCGGGCCGCGAGGCGGCGCGGGAGAGCGCGTCGCACGGGCAGAGCGAGGCGGCGCAGCGGGCGGCGAGCGAGAGGGCGAGCGCCGAGGCGAGCCGGCGGACGATGGCCGATCTGCGCGAGGCGACGACGAAGCCGTGCACGAGGCAGCACCTCTTCCAGGTGGGAGAGTACCAGATGCAGGACACGCAGCTGCTAGAGCCGTTTGAGGTGGATGTGGCTGGCCTTCATCATGAACGCCTACTTGTGCTTCGCGCGGCAGACCGGATGCCGGCCGGGGTGAACGACGCGGCGGACGCGGCCGATTCGGACAGCCACTGGCGCGCGTCTCCCGCTGTGTGTGTGTGTGTGTGTGTGTGTGTGTGTGTGTGTGTGTGTGTGTGTGTGTGTGTGTGTGTGTGTGTGTGTGTGTGTGTGTGTGTGTGTGTGTGTGAGAGAGAGAGAGAGAGAGAGGCGAGTAGGACGGTAAAGGGGTGCGGGCGCGATGGGCTCGCCCTCACTGGCCCTCAGCCACTTGTGTGCTGCGGGTTGTGTGTGCGACACTGCTCGGCGACTGCCGGCACACTGTGAGACCATGGGTGTGAGGTAAATCCACGCTATCAGCGCAATGCGCTTGGTGTCTGCACATCGGTCCCGACACCCGAGGAGCGGCCAGGAGGTCAGATCCTTCACTACTTTCTGTTAGTGACAACACCTGGTCAACTGACAACTCATGGCCCGCACCCCGTACTCTATTTTGCACGACACATAACAACTGGTTGTGGAAGGCTGGTAGTGTTTCCTGGAACATCAACGACATCGTCTGGTAGCACACACGCCGGACCTGCCTTGTTGTGCTCACTCCTCTGTCCCCTCGCCAGGCCCTTCCGTTACTACTCTCGCTCGGAAGACGAGAACTTCCTCCCGCCTCGAGAGCCAAAGAGGGGGATGTCCTGCAGTTCTCTCCGCATGCAGAGAAACTCACCAAGCAGCGCCATGAGCACCAGGCACATGATGTTGACTGCCCACCACTCCCACGCGATCGGCCAGCCGCCGTACACGATGCAACAAAAGAGGTGGAGCAGATGCGCCGTCGCCGCAAAGTCGAGGCACTTCTTCGCGCGCTCGACGATGAAGCAGAGGAAGAACGAACTGCGGCAGTGGCGCCGCGGGAGCGGTCGGCGGGGCGCGGGCGTCACGAAGGGTGGGGGCAGCAGTGCGGCGCTTGCCCGGCGATCGCGTTGAGAAAGAGCGCAAGGATAGTGACCCAACCACCGGCGTACGAGATGGAGATGGAGTCGGGCGAGAAGAGGTGGCGCAGTCCGATGGAGGAAAGGTTGCTGCCGGCTAGCCCGTTGAGCACGAGCAGCCAGAGGCCGAGATTTAGGTAGAGAAGCGCCTGCATCGCGGCGATCTGGCTGACGATGAGCAGCGGGTCGAACCCAGGAGCATAGAAGGGCATGAGAAGAGCTGGAGACGCCTGGCGGCCTTAACACCCGGCGCCGCCAGCGCAAAAAAGAAAAAAATTACGCCACGCACGGGACTGGCGCGCACTGGCACTAACACAGGTACACCACGGGAGCCGCCTAAGCAAATCCCGCCTCCGTGCACTCGACCGCCCTCGCCGCAGGCAAGCTCATTCACAATCTGCTCTGCGATGGCCGTGTGAAGAGAACGAGTGAGATGCGCTGCTTCTGCAGCCCCAGCCAGCTCTTGGTGGTCCAAGTCACCTCATCGAGGTACTGGGCCCGCGTCAGCTTGTTCTGCAGCGCGTTCGCCGCCCTCCAGAGGATCCCGCCGACCCCCTTCCCGAACCCACCGAACGACTCGAATAACAGCAGCCGCACGTCGACGTCCTTGTCCTCCCTGGCGTAGCGATACTCGCCGCCATAGGACGGTATGCAGCGATCGCCGCCACCACCCGCCCCCCCCTAGTATGCCATCGACCCGTCCCCTGTCCCCTCTCGCCCTTGCTCTTCCTCTCCCCCTCCATGCCCTCGCCCCCGTACCCCTCACACTCCCCTCCCCCCCCCCTCTCCCTCCCCCTCGCCTCCCTCTCCCTCCTCGCAGTAGGGCCCATGCCCCACGACCATGTTCCGGTAGAACGCCTCGGTGTTGCCGAAAGCGACAAAAGCGCCCTTCCGACCGTGCTCCCCGCTGCTGGTGAGAGGGCAGACAACCTTGACATCGCCAGAAAAGCGCCTGCCGCCCGTGCCAATGTTGAACTAAGAACGCGTCCACGTCGGGTTGTTTGTTGTAACTATGACCGAGGTGGTTCGTCGGCTCCATTCCGCATTCGCACAGCCGTGCCGCACGCGGCGCGTAGGGCGAGGATGAGGCGCTGAAGAGTACACTTGTGTCTGGTGTTGTGGCTGGGCGAGCGTTTTTATTTCCCCGGGTGCCGGGACGAGATGGGATATCGAAGTGGGAGGAGACCTCGAAGGGTTCTGTGCCTCCTGGTGTTTTTCTGAATAAAACGGGACCACCCACCGATCTCTGCGAGACTCCGCGCGGCCGGCCAGCCAGGCGGCGCGCGGCCCGTCCTCGACGCGCGCGCACACACACACATGACAAAACAACTCTAACACTCACACGTCATTTGGGGCCTGGAGCCCTGTTCACGCGCGCGCGAGACGTGCAGACAGGGTTGCCAGGTGAGAGCGAATGGCGCGGTTCTCTCACACATGACATGCACATGCACATGTTCATGCACATGTTGTCGCGTGCGCACGACATGACAACATGCACATGTGCATGCACATGCACATGTGCATGTGCATGGACGCCCGAGCGAGAGCCGAGAGCGGCCGTCGGCGAGCCGCGCCGCCAACCCCACCCCGGGCCTCGTCCTCGCACCTTCGGGCTCTCCTCCTCTCCGTACTCCGAGAGGTCCTCTGCGCTCTGGGACCTCTCCCCTGGTCCTGCTAGCCTCTCGTGCGCAGATACGCACTCTCGGTGTCGGACACACAGGACACATACGACATACGCGACCAACGGCTGATGTGCGTGTCAAGCCGCCCCGCTTGACGACTCGCTTTCGAAGCGCACAGCGGTCAGCGCAGCTAAACTCACTTCTCACCAGCGCAGCTAAGAGCTAAGTCACTATTTCAACACAGTCGTAGGGGGGAAAGAAACTCGGTTGCGCCCCCGTATTTAAGCCGCTCCGAGGACTATCACAAACTACATGGTACCGTTATCACCCTCCATCCTCGGCGCCATCGGCTGGGTGCGGCTCGCCTCTCCGGCGCCCCTCCCCGAGCCGCGCCTCCTCCGCCGGCGGAGCCTCCAAGGCATCCGCCTCCTCGCTCAGCGCCACGGGAGCATACCCGCTCGAGCGGAGAGATGCCGCGGCCCACCGCCCGCCCAGGCTAACAACCTGCTGATACGCGAGGGCGCCAAAGATGGAGAGCGCGGCGCCAAAGACGTGAAGAGGGGTCGCCTAAGCACAGGCACGGGCCCGGTCTGCCCAGAGCCGGCAGTGGTTGCCTCGCGGAGCGGCGGGCGGCGGGGGTTGCCCCTGTGCCCGCGTGGGCCATCGCAATCACAACCACAACGGCGCGCTTGAGCACGTTGGCGAGGGCGTGCGAGAGGGGCGTGTCCATCGCGTCAAGCACCGACAAGCCCGTGTACCTACCGTCAGAGGTCGGCTCTGTCCCCGCCTCCTTTCCCGGCACGCTCCTCGCTCTAGCTCTCAACTGGTTGACGAAGTAGCAGATGCCGTTGACGAGAACCCAGCCGGCTGGCCGCCACACGCCTCTTCGGCTGGCACCGTCGCTCAAGGCCGCTGGGGCGCGAAGCTCGTCGCGAATCGGCTGCGCCTCGACGAGGAGGGAGAGGCCGAGCAAGAGGCAAAACCCTTTGTGGGCGCCGGAGGAGGGGGGGGGGGAGGGGGTTCAAGGGTGGGGGTCGGTAGCGGGGACTTTGGGAGGCGAGGGGAGGGCGCGGCGCACCGGAGAGGGCGATGCGGTAAAAGAGCTCTGGCTTGGACCAGACGCCGCGCGAGAGGAGCCGCTTGGCCAGGACCATCTGCAGCGCCTGCGATGCCTACGCTCGCACCGCGGCGGCTCGTCCCCCAGCGCCATCTCATGACGGCTCGCGCTGCGCCGCCGGGCTGCCGTCGCGACGAGCGCCGCGAGGGCGCCGACGCTCGAAAACTCGACCTCGGTGGCAGAGGTGAGAGCGACGCCGAGCACGACCGGCACCACCTACCCACGCCAAACCGGCCGCTTCGCTCTTCCGGCCGCCCTTCCCTCTAGTGCCTTCCCTCCCGTGGGGGTGTCTTCTTGGACCTGACACCGAGAGCGCCCGTGCGTGCGCTCTGCGAGGCCATGGGCCGGCCCGGTGTGGAGCGGCGAGGCGCGCAGAGAGGGAGGGCGTGAGCCGGGGTGGCGGCAGAGGCACCGAGGCGCATCGCGCTGCGGTGGTCGGCTGCCCCTCGACGGCAAACGAGAACAGGATGGTGAACAGTGGGGCGAGCGTCTTCACGATGCACGTGAAGGAGACGGAGGCGTGCATCAGGCTCCATCGGTACGCCACCAGCGAGATCACCATCGCGGTGACGACGGGGGCAATCTGGGCGTCAAAGAGAGGGCTGGCACCGCTCGTCGCGGTCTGCCAGGACGCAATGCCGAGGCGGCCGAGCGCCGCGGAGAGCAGCTGCTGCACCGCCGCGATCGTGACTGGGAACGGAAAGCTGCGCAGAATCTCCTTGGTGGAGATGGAGGTGACGGCAGAGCTGCGGCGGCGCACGGGGTGTCAGCTGACGGAGGAGCGCCGGGAAGCCTGCGTGCGCGGCACAGCACGCCTGCAGTACCACAGCGCCAAAAGAAGCCCCACCGTCACACGCCGGCCTAGGGCGCCCTCCAAGCCCATGCACACAAAGAGCCGACCCGATTCGCCGTAGCGGACTCGCTTCGCTTTTGCAGCCCAGGCGGGCGGCGTGCAAAAAGAAAGCGGTGCGCTTCCTCCGGGGGCCCCTCTGCGCCGGGGAGGCGTTGTTGGAGGCTAGGACGCAAGCGTCCCTCGCCTTTTCAAAGTCGGGGCCCACTCCGCTACGCTCCGACCCGAATTTGGAGGGCCATGAAATTTAAGGTGTTGCTGCATGCGCAAAAGGGGCGGGGCGCGGGCGCGCGCAGCGCGCCGAGAGCTCCTTTTGGAGATCAGACCTTTCGATGGTTCATGCTTTCTATGTCTATCTATCATGCTTCATGACACGACAGCGGTGGTGTGGGAGCTGGTGGAGCTGTCAGCTGATCGATCCAAGCGGGTGGGGAGTGGGGGCATGGCTGGGCATGCAGGTCCGCCAGTCGGCCCGGCCTCTGACGTGGTGCTGCCGCTGCATTCGCTGAAGAAGAGAGGTGCGACTTGATTGGAGGCACTGGAGGCGAGGGTGGGGAAGGGAAGGTTGGGCCGGGCCGTGAGGGGCTGATGGCGCTGGACAGCGCGGGGTGTGAGATGCCGTCGTCGTCGTATACTGCTGGCCCTCGCCCTCAGTTGCCAGGGCTGTGGGCTGCAGAATTGGCGTCTGTGGCGTCTACGCAGGCTCTGCAGCGTGATGGCTGGCGGGACTGCGAGGCCGGCGGCAGCGGAAGGAGAGGCTGGGCACGAACCAGGAACAGGCTGGCCAGGTCCGCAGGTGGCTGCGCTCGGGCGAGGCGCGCGCGCGCATGGCAGGCCGAGCAGGCTCGGCATATAGTGAACCCCCGAGATGTCGCGATGGCGGTCCCGCTTTTCCGCGATCATTTCGTCCGTCCAATCGAAGGAAGCGCCGGATCGCCCATGTTATGGAGTTAGCCAAACTTGCCACCGTTCTTCGTCCGAGATTCCGTGGTTTTTGCACGGTATTCGGATTTTCGCTATTTTGGTCGTGTGGGTGTGTATTCCGGGATTAGTCAATGGTACCGCGTCGGCGACGCGGGCGCCTTGCGGGCAGAGCCCTTAGCCACCCTTTGTCTTGCGCGGTCAAAAACGTGACACAAGGGAGGGATGGGAGGACGGCACGCCGCCACCACACACAGGGATTTTAAGAAGAGGGGTGTGGTGCGCTATCCGTCGCCCACCCGTGGGCGTCTGCCTCTTCCTATCTCTCTTCGCAGTCCCTCGCCGATTCTCGCTGCAACCTTCACATGCCACCTCGCGGTCTTCCCACTCTCGTCGTTCTCTCTCTTGTCGCTTCTTCCTCTGTCGCGTCGCTCTCCTCTGCCTCGTTCTGCGACGACGCCGCTGCCTGCCGGTCCCTTGCCCTCGCCTCTCGGTGCAACTCTGCCCTCCTCGCGCAGCATATCCTGGCCCCTCGAGTTTATCGAGCTCTCCTCGCGCAAGGACGACTCTTCTGACGCCCACTGCGACCATTTGCCGCCAAGTCATATCGTTGCTCAGGTCCACTCTCTCTTCGGACACTTGTACCTCCACGACTGATGCTGGCGCTGGGGTCCCCTTCGCGCTTCGGGCTGAGGGAGGGTGTAGAGGATGTAGAGTGTAGAGCGCTGTAGAGCTGTAGAGATGTAGAGCGCTCTGGAGCGCTGTAGAGCTGTAGAGCTCTACATCCGCCGCGTGACGATGCGCCTCCGTTGTAGAGCGATGTAGAGCGCGATTTTGCTGTAGAGTTTGTTGTAGAGGCTCTACAGCCAAACCGCCGGGAAGGCAGTGACTCAAAGAGGTCGAGCCGCGCTAATGGGGTGTCTCCGAGCTTACTTGAGCTCTGATGGACGGCCCTGACTATCCCTGACACACAGAGAGTCACTCTGACGACACACAACACCCTACAACTGCGTCATGACCAGCCTGCCATGTGTCGCCGGTGCCGCATTCGTCGCTGTGCTTCTTTAGCAGGCGGTGGACTGTCGGCTGCGAGGACGGTCGCATTTGCGCGAGGCGAGGCGAGCATTCAGACGCGTTGCATGCGCCATGACTCGCGCCAGCGCGTGCGGGAGCTCCTGGCTGAGCGTTGAGTCCAGGCGAGTTGCGCTGGCCACTATCGCTACGCCGAGCCGAGCTGACGCGCCGAGGCGCCGGCCAGTCGCAGCCGTGAGGCATGCCATAGCAGCAGAGGCACCTCCTACCCATTGGGCGGGCAGACAGAAGGCCAGGGCAGCACTGGCAAGTGCAACGCGCCTCATGTCGGAGAGCGACCGTGCCTCGTTCGCCGCTTATGATGTGGAGTTTGTTGTAGAGATTTCACGTTGTAGAGCGCCTCTACATCGCTCTACAACGGAGGCGCATCGTCACGCGCCGGATGTAGAGCTCTACATCTCTACAGCTCTACAGCGCTCGGCCGCTCTACACTCTACATCCTCTACACCCTCCCTCAGGCTTCGGGTGCATCGTGACAGCTCGTTGGGCTCAACCAGGTTTTCCGGAAAACAAAAAGGAAAACAGAGGGTCCCCAGCACTTTGCGTTTCCGGAAATTTCCAGGGAATACAGAGGGTGTTTGGTGCTCCATTCTGGAAACTCGCGAGTTTCCCTGAGTCTGAGAGCTGGTCTGGCTCTGGGGCAAAATCTGAGGCAAAATTGAGGAAATCGACAAAATACGCACCAGCGAGGGTGGGCGAGACGATCGAGGGGTCCCGTACCATGCGGAATCGACCCTATCCACAGTGCTCAAGTGCTCAGGCGGTCGCAGGGTAATTTCCAGGTATACACGGGTTCTCCGCGAAATTCCCGGCATTTTCCCGATTTGGCCTAAAATTTGGCTGATTTTGGGCCCAAACCAGCCTCAGACTACTCGGGTCTCGGCTCAGAGCCAAAAAATTGACGATTTCCACGCAGTTTTCCCGGGAAAATAGAGAGGAAAAGAGAGGGTGCTGTAGAGAAAAAAGGAAAGGAAAACAGACGGGGTGCGAGAGGCAAACCTGGTTGAGCCCAAGACAGCTGACGGCGGGATTTCCACTGGTTCGGCGTGCAAAAAAGAAAGAAAGAAAGGAACAGTCAACAGACAACCCAAGGGAGGGATGGGAGGACGGCACGCCGAAACAGGGATGCAAAGAGAAATGTTATCCGTCCGGCTTTCAAGTTTCTTTTATGTTTGAGGCCTGGGTTCCAACTTTTTCCGGGGTATGGTATGGTACCCTCGGCGGCCCAAAGGGGGGGGGGGGTCCTGACCGCCCAAGGCTAGCCCTACCATACCCCAAGCAGGTCTTCCAAGAGGCGGGGGGGTCTCGAGGGGGTTGGCGGCCAGACCATACCCCGGAGAGAAAAAATAAAAAAACAAAAATACCCCGGAAAAAAGTTGGAACCCTGCCGCTGAGTGGCTCGGATCTCTCCAGCCGGCTCATCAGATGACCTCCTTCACAAGCTTCTTAGCGCTCGCGACTAGCACCGCGGCGGTCGTCACCCCGCTGAGATCGGTCTCCCCGCTTCGACCGGCGCCCTGTGCAGCACTGCGCTCTAGCCACCCGCGCATGAAGGACTGGTCCCGCCGCGCAACGCTCGCGGAGAAGGCGGGGGGAGCCGGCGACCTGGGTGCGAGCGCCGTCGGGCTGACGGGCTCCATTCCAGTCGAGTTTACGCAGGGCAACGAAACGCTCCGCACGATGGCCACGGTGGGACAGCCGCTCTCGGCCGTGGCGGCGCAGGCTGGCCAGTTCATCAAGTACAAGTGCAGAAAGGGTGAGTGTGGCACCTGTGCCGTGCGGGTGGACGGGCAATGGATACGTACGTGCTCGGTCACTGTGCCGCATCTCCCGGACGGCGAGGCTTACCAGGCGATCTACCGCCCCCCCCCCCCCCCCCTCTCACCCCGCACACGCACACACACACACACACACACACACACACACACACACACACACACACACTCGTCTGTCCCCGCACACCTTCCTCCCTCTTCCGCGGCTGTTTGACCGCCACCCGCGCCGACGCAGGTGTTCGTGCGTCCCACGATGGTCAAAGGCAAGAAGTCGTCCCGCTTCTTCTCCGTCCGCTCCTTTTTCGACGGCTTCAAAAACAACATTCTCGGCCAGGCTGGCTCTGCCAACCGGTCACGCGAGAGCAGTGCCGCCTCACGCGCATGCAGCGTGCACGTAGGCATGGTCGGCTTCGTCAAGGAGGGCCCTCTCTCCAGGAAGGGGCGCGAAAACTTCAACCAGCGCATCAGCGCCGAGCAGGCGTGTGCCGCGCGAAGAGGGAAGGGGAGGGGGGTGCTGCGGAAGCTTCACCGCCGCCGCCACCGTCGGCTCAAGACGCGCCCGTGGCGCCCCGCAGGAGCTTCTCGAGCGGGCAAAGGCGCGCAAGGCGGCAAGGGAGGCAGCCAAGGCGGCAGGACTCTCCCTCGAGGATTACGAAGAGCGGCTGCGTGCCGAGCTGGCGCGGGGCGAGGCGGAGGCGACGACCAAGGCGGCGCGGAAGTGAGAGGCGTTTCGTCCTCGCCGCTGCTTCGCCACCTCTCCGGAATCTGCGTGCGCGCCGTTTCCGCCCGCGTTCTGCCGCGGCGGGTGGACTCGGCGTGCGGTGGCGCTACGCACATTTCTATGATGGTATAATAAAAAAGTGTGTGCGTGCAGCATTACCATTTTGCCACACACATTTCGCCGCTGATCCTGATGCTGGTGGTGTCGAGTGGTGCCGTGGCCTGCCACCATTGCCCGTGACGTGACGCGACGACGGACGAATTCTCGAGGCGCGATAGATAGCTGATAGGAGCGCGGCGAGCGGTCGTGCGGTGTGTGAGCGAAATCTCTGCGCCCCTCGAGCTCGACCCTCGTGAGTCGTGTGCTGTGGTGGCCGGTGTTTTGGTAACAGTTTTCGCCGCGCCTATCGTATCCTGCGGCAAGACGGACAAGGTTTTGTCTTTTGACAATCATTCGTGGACAAAGCAGATACCAGACGTCGGTTTCCCATAGGGTTTCTGCTGCGGTTTCCCATGGCGGTTTCCCATAGCCGAAAACCCAGGGGTCGGTCGGTTTCTGCGGCGCGCTCTGTTTTTTCTGGGATCTGTTTTCTGGGACACCCGCCTCGATTTCCCGTGGGATCTGCCTGTGGGTCTGGTTTCTGCGGTGTGAAGACATCTCCCGCTTCGTCCTAATGAGCTCATTCCGGCCAATGAACAGGTGTACCCCCTCCGATTTTTTTTTCAAATGGGAACCGCGAAAACGGAACGGGATCTGCGTTCTGGTTTCTGGTTTCTGCTCCGATTGGTCGCGACTGGTGATGAGTGTTAAGCTGAGGTTGTCAACGCCGGGTGCGGGCAATTCTCGGCACGGATCGGCACGTGTGGTAGCGTGCGATGAGGCCTTGCCAGCTCCTGGTGGTGCCCTCAAGATCGCCGCGCGCATTGGCCGCTCCGCCGACGTTGTGATAGAGCTTCTTTCTGTCTCCAACAGAGTAGATCCAAACACTCTATTGATAGGCGATAGGTACTCAAAACACTCGCACAACGCCTGCCTTTCACAGCTCAGCCTTTCAGGGCTTGGGCATGACAAGCAACGGCCCCGCCGGTCGGCGTCCGATGCACGAGGCAGCCATGTTGGCTGCCACGGCGTTTCCGCTCGGGATCGCGGCAGCCTGGCGGACTCGACCGCATCGCAGGCCTCCCTCCCGTGAGCCACAAAAGTGCGTGGCAGCGCGGCGCGCCGCCAACCTCGCTTTCGGAGCAGAAACCAGAAACCAGAAACCATAATGCCTGGAGCGATAAAACGGTTCCCCCCAAAGAAAGGGTTCCTCCCACCCAGAACATGCTGCTGTCTTAGTACTCCCGTTCGACCCATTCGGAATCCGATTAGTTAATGAAGGGTCATTCCGCCGGAATGACCCCTCCACGGGGAGATCGTTCACACCTCGAAAAACCAGAACCCAGAGTGTCTGGACCGATATTCCCATGGCCCGGATGTTTTCTGTGGGATATGTCGAAAAAGCAGAACACAGAGCTCCTCCTCCTAGAAGTCCGACGGTTTCTTGATAGCTTGATAAGCCAGGGAAGAGCCTGGTATCTCAGTATGTTATATCCTATGATATAACATAGTGGGATCTGGTTTGTCCACACCTCTTGACAATCAAAATCTTATCAAAATTTGCTATATTTTCCACCGACCTCGCACACGGGCGCTACCATACGCCGCGCACCGTGTCAAGACCCAGAGCGTCATAGCGCCGCTCTGCGCTCTGTGTGCGGCGGACTGGCTGCAGCGGGGGAGGATGGGGCACTGGACGACGTCGCGGGCGCCGCCTCGACCGGGCGCATCGGCGGCAGGCCACACAGAAGCCGTTGCAACGAGCCGGCGTCACGCACCTAGGAAACAAGGAGAGCATCGCGGAGCCTGCTCGGGTGGCGGCGGCGGGCGAGCGAAAGGCGGGCGCACGTTGAGCGGGTGGTGGATGAGCATGAAGGTGTGGTCGGGGAGGTGGAGTGGCACAAAGGTTCGCCCGGCATCATCCGCCTCGGGCCCAGACGACGGGTAGGTTGGCTCGACTTCCTTCAGAGAGTAGTCGCGATCTCGCCTGTGGCCCCACATGGTCAGCGTGGAGACACGCAACCGGCCGCCGCCGAGCAGCCGGAGCTCCTGAACGAGCCGCTCGCAATACCACGAGCAGGAACTGGCGACGGCAACCACGCCGACGCCGAGACCCGCGAGGGTGCCGGCGCCCAGAGCGTCTGAGGAAGGCACGAGGAGCTGCGTCGCCGGCAGAACGACGCCGAGACCGCCGCCGACCTGAAGCACCTTCATCCGCAGGACCATGCGCAGCGACTTCACGAAGGCGAAGCGATACACCAGCGACATGAAGCCCAGCAAACCCAAGAGGCGAGGTCGTTGACTCTCGCCCTCGGGCGAGATTTTTTCTTTTCCGCTAACTTGGTCCAAGGAGGCTAGAGGGGGCGTCCTTTCTTTTAAACCAGTCCTAAAACATTTCCCAGTTTTTCCCCCTCAAATTTTCCACCGGAAAACACGTAAGAGCTACATACAGTACATTGTCATTGAAAAACAAATTCCTTACGGGGTAAGTTCGATTGTTCGTAAGCCTATGCGCATTCGTAAAAAAGCTACATACACTTAAATCTCTCTCCACGCTCACCCCTCTAAACCGCTCTATCTACACCAAGTTTCTCGTCGCTTCTCTGGTAGGACGGGAACGAGATGATAAGTAGGGAGTAGAAGAAAGCAAAGAGGAGCCCTGGCCCCTGCGCACGCACGACTCCGCAGGAGAAGCCCCTCTCGCTCCCCTCTGCCTCTTGCCACACTCTAGATCCTCTTACCTCGCCTCACAGCGCCGGAGTCGGGCAGTTGTGGCGTTTTGGATGGCAATGATACAAAACCGGCTGCCCCCGTCGCGAGGTGGCGACGGGCGCGGTGGTTCGAAGGCTGCTCGGCAGAGGGCGACGTCTCGGCCGCTTGCGTCGACATCCAAAAAAGCTTGGCAATGATACAAAACCGGCTGCCCCCGTCGAGGTGGCGACGGGCGCGGTGGTTCGAAGGCTGCTCGGCAGAGGGCAACGTCTCGGCCGCTCTTGCGTCGAAATCCAAAAAAGGCTTTTGTATTGAGGGCGACTCACAGTGGCGCATGTGCTGCCCCTTCGAGGACGCGCTCTGCAGACGCCGCGGCAGCACGCAGGGCTGCCACGTAGGCGCGCCTGTACTTGACAGCGAGCATCTGCCTGCTTGTGATGTGACCACATAACGCTTCGTCTCTTTGCCGATCAGGAGAGTGCGCCCGCTTTGGCTCGCCCGTCTCCCCGTGAGCGCCGACGCCGACGGCGAGACTGTCTCCCCCTCCCTGCCCCTCCAGTAGCGCGGCAGCGCAGTGAAGCCCAAACTTGTGGTAAGCCAGCCGCCGCTCTTCCAACCGGGACACCTCTTTCGATGCGCCCTCTGCGAGCGCCTCTAGGTGCTTCCGAGCATCTGGCGAGGGCGCCTCGCCAGAGGCAATGCCACTCCACTCGTCGAGGAGCTGCAATGGCACGACCGATCCCGACTGGTCCGCCGCGTCCTCAATTATGAAGGAGAACCTCTCCCCCGTGCTGCTGGCCGCAAACTCCCACGCCACAGGCGGCGGCTCCACAAAGCCATAGTTTTGAAAGAAGTCATTGGCGGACGCTGGTTCGCTCCCGGAGCGCCGCATCTCGACCATCATCCGCTTGCCCGCGGCGGCACCCATTGCAAATGTGTTGAATAGCTCCTCCCCGACCGAGTGCGAGCGCACAGCAAAGAACACGTGGGCCCCATTATCCACGTGATGGCGCGTGCTGTTGTGCCCGTGGTTGAAGATGTCAAACACGGGCTGCATACCCAGCGGCCCAGCGCGGCTCACGTAGAGCATGAGGGCCCGCATGGCGAGTGGGTCTGTGATCGGGGCCGTGCCCATGGCAGGACACTCGCGATATCGCTCCGTGTGGACCAACCAATCTCCGTCCAGCCCGTCTAGCAGTGCGAGGTCCTCGGCGCTCCAGGCGTTTGGAATATCGACGACCACGTCTCTCATGCTTTTGAGGTACCTGCGCGAGTCCGCGGAACCCGAGCTCGACCACACAACGGGGGCAGGGCAGGGCTACTGTCGCGGGTGTGGCCGCGCACGGCCAGTAGGTTGAGCACTCGCCGCGCTCGAGCTCAGTCCGAAGGGCCTCGACGACAAGGCATGGGTGGCGGTCGCCATGCTCTAGTATGGAGCCGATTGGCACTCGCACGATAACCTCCCCCTCTGCTATCGGCGCCGTTGCATGGATGCCTCTTCCTCGCGAGCCATGAGCGATGGAAATTGACGGTGAGAAGAAGCCGCCGGACTCGACAACCCAATCCACAATGTCGTCGGAGCCACCAACCTGCCACGGAAGACCCGCGGCCTTGGCCGGGCACGCCAACGCGCAATGACTGCCAATCAGCACGTGAATGGCCACAATAACACTCCTCAGTCGTACGCCCATGTCGCGCCCTGCCAACACAGCGCGCGGGCGTTCGGTGCGCCAACTTCCTGTCCGTATTCTTCTTTCGCAGTAATCAATCCTTCAGGTGTGGTCACTCCGGCGCTCCTGCCGGTCAGTCTCCGTAGTCGATGCGCCCGAGGCAGCCCTGGTAGTACCCCCGCCGTGCCGAGCGTTCCACTGGAGGTTGTCCTCGAAGAATCGCGCGCAGTGAGGCCTCGCAGCGGCCTTGGTGCCGCTACAGGCGGCGGCGAGCTCGGCCTGCAGCTCAGCGAAGCGGCGCTCTTCCTGCTCGATGCCGGGGGCCGCGACCCTGAGCTGCTCGCGAAAGCGCTGCTGCGCCCAAAAGTACAGGCGGGTCTCATCGCTGAGCACGCAGCGCTGCCACATCAGGTTGGCGGCCGAGCCTTCGCTCGTGTTGGCCACTGCACCATACAGCCAGCGCTCAAAGCGGCTCGCCAAGGCTTGCTGGTGGCCGGAGGACTCCTTCAGGCGCAAGTAGAGCAGGTCTGCGAGCGACCAGCCAAGCAGCCGACGGAGAAGCACGAGAGACCGGTCGTACTCCTCGGTGAGCATCACAAGGTCGAGCCGCCACAGATGCTGCAGCGGCACGTGCTCAGACATGAGCGGGCCCTGCGGGCCGCACGCGCGAGCCCAGGGGAGTGCGCGTGGGCGGCCTGAAAGCGCCGCACTGAGCCACCACTCGAGCTTCGCAGTGCGCGCGTGGCGGAGCGAGGAGGCGAGCCGCGCAACCGGGTGCCGGAAGAGCGAGACAACCTTGTGGGTGGGGAAGAGGGCAGCAAAGGAAACCGGCTCGTAGACTGCGTGGTTAGCAAAAATGCGGATGGAATCGGGCGCCACCCAATCACGCAGCTGTGCGGCGCTCAATGTAGAACCTGCGTGCACGCCCCGTGGGTAGACAAAGCACGTGCTGCCGTTGGCGTCGCAAAAGCGGTGCATGATCGACGTCAGTGTGCTCGAGCCAGTGGCGTGCGTTTTGATGAAGACCACTCCCGGCTCCGACAGTGGCGACGAGATGCGGTGCGGGTGGGCTTCGCCCGCCGGGAGCAGATGCAGCGGTTTCATGTGTGTGTGTTGCGTGGTGACTCGCGCGACGCGGACGGCGGACGGCGGGCGGTTATATCGATAAGAAAAACGTGACCGAAAAATCTTTGAAAGAAAGTGACGTGTGCGTGTGTCCCGCGTCCACCCATACCGCGTTGGTGTCCAGTCCGAGCCTGACTGTTCTTCACCTTCCTCTGAGTGTTAGGATTCCTAGAGAGATCCGCGGACCTGTCGATGTAGCCTCTGACGACAACTTTGTTTATTCGAGATTTTTAGAGAGAGAGATTTTTAGCATTTTTAGCAATACCAAATTTTCTCCACGGACCCGAGAAGGTAATTTCTCGCAGCTGCGAGACAAGTTTTCTCGGAGCGACAGCCTCAAAGACAAAAGGGTGGATGGGTGGGGGACGATTGCGGGCGAGCGCCAGCGCGCCCCAGGAACGGTGGGGTGCCCTCGACCGCGCGTCCGAGTCACTTGGGCGGACGAGCGAGCGGCACATGGCCCGACAAAGAGAAATCGGAGTCTGGCGACGAGATCGATAAAAGAAGTGCAGCGTTTCCTCTGAGGTGCCTCAGAGGTGCACTACACCTCTGAAGGTGTCTTTCAGAGGTGTACTTCAGGAGCAGAGCTGACGTCAGTCTGTGCGCGCTCCCTCTCTCCTCGTCGAACCCACCACCATCCCCTTTCGCCTCCTATCTGTCTTGTGTGTGCCTTGCTGGGGGGAACAAACGGCTTCATCGCAAAGCTGCCCCCAGCAGGCGTCTTGACGGGTATCAAAATTCTTCCCTACGAAAGAGGCCAACGGACCCGAGAACCTGGTTTTCACACCGCCGCCCGCCGCCGGCTCGCCAGCACTCCCTCGCAACCGGTCAACACGCCTCGGCTTCGACGCCTCGCCTCGGTCGAGTCGCCGCTGCGTGAGCCGCCGCCGCCCGCCGGCGACACCAAATCATCGGTCCTTGGCCGGCGCCGAGATCGGTCTCGCGTGCCGACTCACTGCTGCATTGCTGCGGCACTCTCGGCCGCCGCTGTGCTCTCACTCGTTTGCGTCGCCCTAGCCGTGACTGAGGTCCGCCAGTCCGCACCCTTCCGCCGCGGCTCGACGTCCGCCACCCGCCATGCCGACGAGGGTGGCGCAGGGATGCGCGCATGTGGAAATGCGAGTGCGGTTGGGAAGCTCACGAGCTGTCTCCCGCGGCGGCTACTCTTTGTGGGTGGGCTGCAGCGTTCGGGGACGTCGAGCCTCGCCGCGCTGCTCGGTGGCACAGTCGATGGCGTGTCGGGCCTCGCCTTTGACCTCGGGTCCGCCGAGCACCTCCGCGAGGCGCCGTGGAAGTCGCTCGTGGACGTGCACACGGGCAGGTGGATGAAGTACGCCTACTTCCGCGAGGTGTGTCCGAGAGACGGCCGCGATGGTAGCCGAGATGGCGGGTGGATGAGGTCAGGCCGGCTTGTTGCGCGAAGGTGGTGTCGACAGGCGGCGCGGAAGGCAAGCTGCTGCAGTCCGTCTACCCGTACCGCTACCTTTTGCACGACGCGCGGACCGCACCGCTTCGCGCCCTCCTCTCGCAGCCGACGGAGCTCTCGCCACTGCGCAGCGCTCGGCAGTATCTCTGGGAGCAGTGGCGCCGCTTCTGGACGCCGGCTCTCGTGCTGCTCGACAAGACGCCCGAGAATTTGCTGATGGCACCCTTCTTGCAGGCGACGTTTGGCCCGCGTGCCACATCCTTCATCTTTGTGCTGCGCCACCCACTGAGCTGGTCGCTCGCCGCCTCGAAATGGGCTTGCCCATGGGGAGCAGGGAATGTCTCCCGCGCATCGTCCACAGGACATACGCGACGCGCGGCACCGCCTCTGGAGTGCGTGGATCGGCTGATGGCAGTGTGGAGGGTGGCGCACGAGCGGATGGCGACGAGGCTGCCCACCCTCCGCTCCGCCACTCTCCTCCGCACCGAGGTGGACTCGTGGATCGCCGCCCTCACGCCCCTGCTGACCGCTGTGGGGCTGCGTCCGCCAAACGGGCGGTTGGCCGAGTGGGAAGCGACGCGGCGTGCCTTTCTGCGGGCGAGCCACCAGTACGTCTTTTGCTACATGCGTGGAGCGCCACCCGTACGGCACAAGGTTGCCAGCGAGGGCCCGATCGGTGGCGCAGAGGGGGGCGGCGGCGGAGAGGGGAGTGACGGCGGGGACACAGCCGCGGCATGCGGGCCGGCGTCGGGCGAGGCGGCAGTGGAGCGGCAGCGGTGGCTCGAGTCGCTCCGCGCCCACGCGTCGCGGCAGGTGGAGGCACTCGGCTACTCGTTGCAGCTAGAGACCATCATAGCGAGCTGTTGCGAGGGGCGGCCGAGCGATTGGGCTGTGGCAGGAGCGGGCCTCGCAGCGCCGGTGGCGATGGCGGCGGCGGCGGCGGCTGCAGTGGGAGACGGCGCGGTTAGTGTGGCGGAGAGTGTGGCAGATGCGAGCGGGGAGGGAGCACAGGTGCAGGAGGAGGCGGAGGGAGCAGAGGTGGGGGCGAAGGTGACGGCGCCACCGCCAGACTATGCCGCCCATGCTGACGCCGGAGAGGGGGTTGGCTTGCACGCCGGACGCGTGGCGCTGCTAATCAGCTCGTCTTTCCTGTCGGGGTTCAATGGCATGCAGCAGCGCGCGGCGCAGGTGGCGGTGGCGGTGGGCAAGCTCGGCTTCGCAGTGCACTTCGTCTCTCTCGGCGACCTCGTCTCGCCATCGGAGTGCGCTTCGGCCGAGGTTGCGGTGGTGTGCCACGGCGGCGGCAACTCCTCCGCGCAGTACGCCTCTTTCGTGCGCTGGGCGCGCACCACTCGCTCCTCGCCGACGCTCCTGCTTCTCGGGTTCACTTCGCTGACTCTTGAGGCGTCTCGCGTGATGCTCGCCCGCCCCGCCAGCCTCGCCTTGCAGTATGCCTCCCTTCGGAAGGACGCGGCGGGGGGTTCGCTCTTTGCATCGCTCGCGCCGCGTGCCGAGCGGGCGGTCGCGCTGTTCGACGCGGCGCTCTCCGATTTTCCGATGGGACGGCCGGTCGTCTTCACCGACGACGTGCACTATGCGAGGACCCACGCTATCTTAGCCCAAGCGGACGCCCTCACGCCACAGCTGACGCCGCTCCTCTCGGGGCTTCGCACCATTGAGCTCGGCGCCTACTGCTGCGAGGCGTTGTACTGCCTGGAAACAGCACAGCACTCTTTTCACATTTGTGAGCAGGTGTCTACCGCCGCTCGTGGCTGACGCTCACCGTCTCCAACAGCGACCGCATGTCTCTCGTCGCCGCCCTCAACGCTGGCAGTAAGGCGCGCCGCAGCTCAAAGCTCGAGGCGGCACCCAGCGCGGTGCCAGCGGTGCGGCTTTTGCCTTTTGGCGCCGCCGCTCTCCCCAACCACGCAGTTCCCCCCGCCGAGGCGCGCGAGGCAGGCCGGCTGCTGTATGTCGGCACGGCCCATCCAGTGGCGCGGGCGGGCGTCGTTTGGTTCCTCCGCCGTGTGATGCCACACCTTGACGAGCTTAGCCGCGCAGCTGGCGCACCGCTAACTTCGTTCGTCGTTGACACGTCCATGCCGTCCCCCCCATGACGCCCCTGGCACGTCCATAGGGGTGCGGGCGGTTCTCTCGCTCGTGGGAAGCGGGTGGCCGGCCTTGCAGGGCGAGCCGCCCTTTGCGCATTGGGTCGAGCGCGGGCAGCTTCTGGTCCGCGGCAAGCTGAGTGCCCAAGAGCTTCGGGCGGAGTACGCGGCCGCGCGCCTCTTTGTGGCCCCGGTGCGCAACGCGACCGGCGTCGCGACCAAAAACTTCCACTCCATGGGGAGCGGGCTGCCGGTGCTGACGACAGCGATGGGTCTTGCGGGTATGAAATTGCCGCCGCGCGACCTCGGTCTTTGCTGCGACGCCTCCGCCTCCAACACTTGGCCACGAGAGTGCAAGCCATCACCCAAGGAGTTACAGCGGCGTCGCGGGTGGGAGGGACCCGATCGGCCGTCGCTTGAGGCGGACTGCCGTCGTGCGCCGAAACGGCTCGAGTGCGCAGCTTATGCCGCCGCACGGCGCGCCGCCGCTTCCGCCGCCCCTGCCCGCGACGCAGCCCAAGCAAGCAGTGCTAGCGACGGCGGCGGTGACGGTGATATTGGCGATGAGGGCGGCGGCGCAGGCGAGATTCGCGGCGCTGAGATCCGCGGCGGCGATGGCGGCGGCGGCGGCGAGGCGCGCGGCGGCGGCGAGGATTACGGCAGCCGGGTCGGCGACGGAGCACCGACGCGGTGGTATCGTGATGGTAATTTTGACCCCGCGGTCGCCGCCGCCACCGCCGTCTCGACGCTTGATTCGGCCTCGGCTGGGGCATTTTCGCTGCCGCGGGGGCGTGACCTCACTCGCTCTTTGGCGCGCGTTGTTGCTCTCCGAGCCGGCAGCACCACACATTGATCGCTGAGGTCTCGCCACAAGCTCTCTGAGGGCGCAACTTTGAACCCTCTAGGCGGCAGCAAGCAGGCACGGCCGAGTCCGCGCTCTGAAGGTCCGGCCGCTCTCAGCCCAAGCAGCCAGTGGCTCCACCCGTCGATGGCCGCCCTTGTGGCCGAAGAGCCGCGCAGCTTCGCGCGGGCTGCGGTGGAGGCCCTCACCGACGCTGCGTTGTGGCACGAGCTCTCGCGACGCGCGTTGCGGCAGATGCGCCTGCTTGTCAGCCCGGCACGGCAATCGGCGGTGCTCTCGGCGGCATTGCGAGACCCGCTGTTGCTCGACGCGCCGGCAGAGCAGGCGTGTTTGCTGGTGGTGGACGCGTGCTCCCCTCGCGATTCATTGCTGCCGCTGCTCCGCACCACCCTCGCTGCGCTCCTCTCGCTGCGCATCACTGTGCACATCCTGCTTCTACCAGCGGCGGCTCAGCCTCAGTCAGAGATCGACTTGCTCGGCTGGCTACGCACACAGGGCGTGCTCACCTACGCGGGGGATGCAGCTGAGCAGTGGACCGCGATATTGCTCGCTTCAGCCGCGCCGCCGCTCCGCTTCGCCCTGC